TTGTTAATTGGTGTCATGGTTTGTGGTTAGTAGATTAGGCGAACCTAAGCTTAAAGCCTACTATGTCTTAGAATAAACATAAAATTTAAATTTTCAAGAATGGTCAATATGAGTATATGAACTTACCGTGTGTCATAAAGTTACAACAGAATGCGTGCAAAATGTAGAAAATTCATAAAACTAAGTAATTATCGAAAAACGATGAATAATCATACGCTTGATGAACTTCTTGCCTCTTTCATTCGGTCCCATTTTGTATGCTCACGGCTGTGACTAGTCTCTGACGTCCAGACTTCTCCTGTCGTTATATGGGTCATTCTCCCATTAACGTGCAGTTTTACTGATTTTTTGTCCCGGTCGATACATTTCAATAAAATATACTTTTTCTCTATTTTTCATTTAAATCGATCTTAACATGATTCAAGACAATTATTTAATACTCATTTCTTCAACACATAATTTCTTGAAGATTCTTTAAAGAATGTCTCCCCCCTGAAAAATAGCCTATTTTAAATGTCCCGATCGGCATTTTTTATTTTCAAGCTCACTTCACTTAGACTTCAGACAGCTTAAAATTCATAAAAACTGTTTTTCTATGTGAACAAACATTTGTAGAATTGATTAATAGAAATGGTTTCTTATGATATGGTATTTGTTTTTAAATAAAAAACATTTTATGGGTGTCCCTAAATAATTTATCAACACCGTAACGGGATCTTTTGTTGCGGAGTGAAATTACAACTGCCACTTTACAATGTAGCTTTTTGCACACGCTACTATTCCTGGTGCTCGTCGACGTCGAATTGATCTTTCAACAATAATATTAGCTGAATAAACAGTAATAATATTTATCAAAAATAAGGCTAGTATTTTAATTCCCCTTCAACACAGTTACGCAGATTTCACAATGTCTAATGATTAAACCTTTGTATAAAAATGATTTTTCGAAATAAAAAATCGATTCTCGGCGGTCACCATTGAAAGTAGTCCTGCGGATGAATACATTAACGAGCTAATGAAAGATAATGTTAAATTTCTCAACACCGTAACGCTCAACTCCGTCACACACCGTCACGAATATTATCGTTACGGTGTTGAAATATTGTTATGGTGTTGAGTTTTTTATACATTACATAAGTTTTTAGACATACACATACCCTCAAATACCCAAAAGCATCGAAAATAAAGAGATCAATTTATGCCGGTCCTATTCGATTTCATTAAATTATGGACTAATAGGTAGTAATGATTGTGACTAAGGCCTGCAAATTCTCAAATTTTTTGAAGATAAACTAACTTCTGTTCTTCTTGTAGTTGTAGTAACAAATTCGTATTGCCTGCATTCAAAGATATCATTTGGTACGCGTATTCTAAAATAGTAACTATGATTCATGCACAAGAGAGAATAAGCTCTCGCAGAGAACTTTATCAGGTACCGTACCAAAGAGTATTTGGACGTAATTAGCTAGATTGTTTCAATTTTATGATTAGTTCACTTTTATCTACATTTGTTGGTTAATTTTAATCTTAAATACCTTAATGAATTACAATTTTGTATTGATTAGTTTTGTTTAAATAAAAGTAAATTCTTGTTAATGAGAATGTTTTTATCCACATTATGATACTGATACAGTTTCGTAGTGCTCATTTACAAAATAGGCCTACGACATGTTTTTCTCAATAAAATTTTTGATTCAAAATTCAGATTTATATACAATGTGAAACAAAAAAGATTTTCTAGTATTGTGGATCAGATTGTTATGCAATTTGCAGTTAAGTTTTCATTTGCGCACCAAACTTATTTTGTGTGAATCATTCTGCTTCAACACCGTAACACACATTCAACACCGTAACTCAACTTCAACACCGTAACGAATGCCTAAATTTTTCCATAAGCTGCCCGATGCCCCTTTTCGCATATATTTTACTTATATTATCATTGCCATGCACTTATCCTCCCAGGTAAAGTTACTTTAATGGTGGTGGGAAAACGTCAAACGATCATATTGGGTTTAGAACATGGCAAAATATACGTAATGTAGAGATGACGCGTTGTAATAAGTCATAATGCTAAATTTTAAGCAAATGGAATAACAGATTTATACTTTAAAAGATTTGAAACAAGAAGTTCTACATTCTAAACTACTTTCGGCATGTTTTATTAACTTATGTCTGCTTTTTTTTTCGTTTTTAGTTTCGTTACGGTGTTGAGAAATTTTGACAGTTCTTGAACAAACAAGTCATATTTAAACATTAAAATATTCATTAAAAAATGTGCACAAGCTATAATCAATAAAATGAAACATTTTGCGTCCAAATAAAATGATTTATTTCATAGTGCAAAGAACTTGATTTGTATTTTTCTGCAACATGCAAATTGCACATTAATGGGAGAATGACCCATATATTTTATTTAATATAATAATAATTTTAACAACATACTTTTAAGAGCACTTTTATACATCATATTATACAATATATCACTTTGTCAACATACACTTTAGAGCACTATTATACATCACATATCACTTTGTTTACATACAGTTTAGAGCACTATTATACATCACATAGCACTTTGTTTACATACAGTTTAGAGCACTATTATACATCACATAGCACTTTGTTTACATACAGTTTAGAGCACTATTATACATCACATAGCACTTTGTTTACATACAGTTTAGAGCACTATTATACATCACATATCACTTTGTTTACATACAGTTTAGAGCACTATTATACATCACATAGCACTTTGTTTACATACAGTTTAGAACACTATTATACATCACATATCACTTTGTTTACATACAGTTTAGAGCACTATTATACATCACATATCACTTTGTTTACATACAGTTTAGAGCACTATTATACATCACATATCACTTTGTTTACATACAGTTTAGAGCACTATTATACACCACATATAACTTTGTTTACATCGCACACATGTATCTATCAATCAGTTACTGGCCCATGAACGTCTGAATTCAACTGCAAAAGGCGCATGGGAGAAGCCTCCCCAGCTCCATATGTTTCCCATGCATTGAAAATTGCCTTTTGTTTCGGGCTTGATCGTGAAATAATGATGTATCTCTTTCGTTGTCAGGTTTTCAATAAAACTCTGTTAATTTCAAACATGGTAGATTCCCTCTTTAATGCCTCAACTAATCGGTATAAGTCGAGCCCCATTTCTCCGGTTTTATTGTTCAGTCTTCTGTGCCAGTCTGTAAAATAATGATTAATTTATATAAATAACTACTTAGATTGCAGCATTACTTTTGGCTATTAAAATTTGGAAAATATCTTACCTTCGACATGGTTATTAATTGTACTTATGGTCTGATTATACATAGACCATGAAGACACGGTAAATGTAGAATTCGCCATCCACTCAAAATATGCACACATTACTGTTTCAATTTCTCACTAGTCTGGGCCTTGTCCTGCAATTTTTGAAACACAGCTGATATGTGTTCCCTCGGCAAAAATGGTAACGACATTAATCTTCTTAAGAACTTGGTATATGAGTCTTTATTTCTGTATAGATTATAACTACTATATCATTAAATGTTAGTGGAGATTATTATGGTATTATATGTATAAATAAGACATACCTGCAGGCCCAGTTCTTGACGCCTTTTCCAAATCGCTTGTGTAAAATGGAACAGACAGCCCTTTATATTGGTATCTGGAAAGACTTTTGAGAACGCTTTCCAGGTAGCAGCCTCAAAATCCATTACTACTGATTTCACAACTGGGGACTCAAGCAATAACTGGACGATTTTCCTTAAAAAGGCCTGGACATCACAACATAACATAGCGGCACCATTTTCATTTGCTGACCTGACTTGCAGAAACCATGTATAGAAAACAGTTGATTAAAAGGCTTCTTGATCACTTGGAATGTTGCATCTGGCAACCATTGTCGACTAACACCTTATGGGGCTAATTGCTGATCTGTGGCCATAATAAGGTGTCGTTCTCCATCCACTCTTAAATCAGCTTTGATGAAGTCAGGCACAAATAACTCATCCAACTAAAATGTAAAATACATGTATATATGTAGACTGCATATAAGTGTTGATATAGGCCTAACTATAATATATATATGTAGGCCTAATAACATTTTAATTAATTCAATTAATTACCTCAAATTCTAAGTCCATTGTGTTTTTCGGTCGTAGCCTCTCCCTGCATCGGTTTGCCACCCTTACCAATAACTCTGGATCTTCTCTGCTTGCGGCTGGTAAACTGGAGTCCAAGATATCAATTTCAATGTCTTCTACAATGTTCCTGCCTGATTTAAATGGGTGATTTAAGGCTGCCTTCTTGATCTAAAATCAATTAATCTTAATTAATTGGTGTGTATAATAGCTTTAATCCTAATTTTTTAATTAATGTATTGTGTCATGTGTTATTTACTATTATTTGGCTTAATTTACAAATAAAATTATCTTATATAAAGTGTCTTATTGACACATTCAGCGAGGTAAAGGGCGCGAAAGCGTAGAAAAGCGAGAAAAAGAGAGGAAAATTTTCGTGGGCGAGAAGTCGAGAGTAAATATGGCCGCAGCCGGCTTCCATAATTTCGTCACAGCCATTGGTCTTAGATGTATTAAGCTCTAATCAACGTCGGGACTTGAATGCTGTCATGTGGCAATCATCAGCAGTTCCCGTAAAGCTGAATGTTGCATAGCGCGTATAGAGTTATTTATAACTGTATGATAGCGCCATAAAGTTAAATGGATAGCGCGTAACATTCATGGTAGGCCGTTTGCAACGAAAGATAACACGAGAGTAGGCTTAATCTGATTTCTCACTGGGCTTCGTGTAAAAGAAAGAACCAGGCATAATTTGCCAATGTATTATGTATTTTGAAACGAAAAATAAATTTCAATTTATGATTAAAAAAGCTTCGTTTTCTTGTTACTCTTTAAACTCGTTAGTTTATTTTTTATTTTTTATTAACCGGATGTTGAAACCATAGCGATAGAACGCCGTGCATGCGTAGTTTACGGCGGAAATAACAACAATCATGTATTTTGTAAACAAATAATGAACATTTAAGAGCACTATTTTCTATTAACACTCTGATGATTTTTACCATCGTTTCATTAATATAACTATTTAACCATGCCTCATCTAAAAAATCTCAACAGCAAACCTGCCCCATGGAAGGAAGCTGATTTTAAGGCCAAGAAACGCGGAGTTCGACACACAGTTTATTCTGTGAATGGAGATGAATATACAGGAGAATGGGAAGACAATAAACGACAAGGTTAGTTCACAGCCGTTACACCGCAGTGACAAACTGATAATTTGGTCGAAATATCTTGAGACTGAATTATTTGGCCAAGCAACTACGACTTAATGGTCGTTCACTTCGCGTAGACTGCATGGCTTCATTAACCATTCATTTCAAGAGCGAAGGTTTTACTTCTTATTTATGCTAAATGTTTTATTGCGATGAAGTGTTGAATTGAAACTAACTAGGCTTAATCTCTGTCCACTCTGACTTTGAGCTTTAAATTCATAAATATTCAAAATAAAATTTCGTCTCCTACCCCCTATTACCTTTTTAAAAACAGATTGACCTTGGGACATATTTCAAAGTATGACCATCCCTACCTAACCCTAAAAAGTCTCTAAATTTCATATTTGACACTTAATTGTTATTTTGATTTTTCTATACATGAAAGCGAAAGGGCTGGCAAAGTAACAAAAAGGAATCCCAACCAGTTCACTGCTAAATATCCACAATGTGACTGATATAAGTTATCATTCTGTCCACAGGTAAAGGAACGTACCAGTGGAAATCAAATGGTGCTATTTATGATGGAGATTGGAAGAAAGGACAAAGGAGTGGATTTGGAACATACAGTTTACCTGATGGAAAAGGCAGTTATAAAAAAGAATATTCTGGTGGATGGAAAAATGATAAAAGACATGTATGGGTCATTGAATCACTTTTATTTATCAATATTTTGAACAGTGTAGACCCAATATAGATTTTTTGTTTTTTCATCCTTTTTTCATGATCGTAAGACATAATGCTAAGACATGTTCTAGGTCATATAGGCTTAAATATTCAACCAATCAACTGTATGTTCAATAACAGATTCACTACATGTGATGAGGTCAAAGATATTTAACATTAAACTTTGACTTGAAGAACCACACACTTCATATTATGTAGATTTCTTCTCTTTCTCTAAGGGCTATGGTACACGATTTTATTCCCCTGAAGATTATTATGAGGGAGAATGGTATGCTGATAAGAGATGTGGATGGGGTAGAATGTATTATGCTGATGGAACTATTTATGAAGGAGAATGGTTTGATGATGAAAGAAATGGAGAAGGGATGGTCAGATATAGTAAGTTTAAAGGAAGGTGTGGGGTGGTGTGTTCTAAACAGGAAATATGACATAACTTTCCTTGTTTAAAAATTTCTCAAAAATACAGAAAAAACTATATTTTACACAACAACTTAGGTTGGCATTGATCTTTCCCAGGTTATCCATAGCCATTTACAGCTGGGTTGACTATGAGTGAAGATGACTTATTCAATAAGATTTGAACGACATTTAGAAGTGGAGAGTAGATATAACAAAAAAAAAAAAAAGAAAAATAATATACCCCTTTTTTTTTTTTTTTTGTTATATGACTTATTCAAGGTCACCAGACTTTCACACGCTGATGGAGATCGGAACCCACAACCGCAATAATATTATATTTGACGTAACCAAGCAAATGTCCAACACTATAACTGACTGTGCTTTATAGAACCTCATACTTACAGTATGATTTTCAAATATTCACCATTCACTTTATTCTAACTCATCATTATGAAATGATATTAAAGGGATTGTAAAGAGACTTTCTAAAATTTGAAAGCATTGAATTTCTATTTTCATTTTTCAGCTAATGAAAATCGTTATGAGGGTTCCTGGAAGAATGACAAAAAGAATGGAAAAGGGAAATATTTCTTTTTAACAAAAGGTCAATTACAGGAAGGAGTTTGGGTTGATGATATTCCTAAATGTGGTACAATGATAGATTTCAATAGAGATAGTGCTCCTGAACCCACACAATATCCTATACCAGATGTAAGTTTGATTCAATCAAAATCCAAACATGGTGTCTATAAATTGACTATCTTTGCTTGGCTATTTTTTCGACCCCTATTTCTAAATAAATACTTTTAGTTGTCCAGAGGTTAGAGCTAGATATTTTTAGGATCAAACTTTGACAAAAATTAAGGGGAGAGCAGGTCCAAAATTTTTTTTTTTTATATCTATTGACAGAACTTGACATACATGATGCTGTATGCTTATAGATAGGTGTTTTCATGTATAACTTTTTTGAGGTTGAGTGACAACTTTTTGAGATGGTCTTAGGGTATCACCTTGTAACCATGGCAACAACTTAAAAGATAGTGGACCACAGCCATATACGCCCACCACGGCATGCGGATGGTAAAAACGAAACATCCATTTTAAGTTTCATCAAAATCGGTTGAAAACTAAGAGAGTTTTAGAGTGTTTACGAGCAATTGATGTTGATAGAAGCACTTACTGTATAGAGGTTAAAGGGCGATAACTCCTCAAAACTGACGTAAGAGGCCTAAATCTTGAAAAAGCCTTAAATTTAATCAGAAGTAAGCTAATCTTTCTCAAACCTTTCAATTTAGGTCCAATAACATCCATTTTAAGTTTCATCAAAATCGGTTGAAAACTAAGAGAGTAATAGCATATTCAAGATTTTGGGGCAACTCTGCTTCTTACGGTCCAAAATAGCTCAAATTCGAACTTGATTTTCGTTTTATGAATATGTAAACACATACTGAATTTCATTTGATTCCATCAAAAAATCTAGTTTTTAGAGCGTTTACAAGCAAATGTTGACGGACCGACTGACGGACAGGGGTGCCGACAATATACGTCCACATAGAGAGATGTGGGCGTATAAAAATGAAGCATGAAAACATCTATCTCTACTCAAATGCAACATCATGCCTGCCAATTTGTATCCATTTCTGTCATGGACCAGCTTTTCTGCAATAGTTTCTTAGAAATGATGACGGGCCTCTGTCATTCCTCCATGACAGACTCAGGAAAGATAGTAATCAAATATTGAATTGCATATAAACACTGCATGCAATTTTGTTTCGATAAGTGACATGAAAAGCTATAATAAGGCTCTTGTTATTTTATGAACCAATTAATTAGACAAAAAAAATTATGAAATACCTTTCAGAATAATTTTTTCCTTGTAAATTACAACCAATCTTAAATACCTTTTTCGTTTCCAGAATGAACTAGCAGAAATAGCAACAGTATTAGCTGAAGCTGAAGACAGATTTTTACCTGAACAGGAATAAATTTGTGTTAAACAGATTAGTGGGAAAACTGCTGGAATAATTTGTTTTGTGTGATGATTAGCATTGACTTGTATCATGAATAATGGAATTTATATTTAGTTTACATTTAAGTGTATTCACGGGTGTTTTTAAGGCACTACTTTTATACTGCTGTCGAAAGAAAAAAACCGCTGAATCATCATTTTTTTTATGATGTGTATTTGACATACAGAGAGACTGTTTTTAACTTGTAAAATATTTTATTGGTTTTAGCCAAAAATACAGTTTATTTGCTTTCTATTGTGGTCAACTTATCCACAGGTCTGCCAAAAAGAAAGGATTGAAACAGAATTAAGAATAATAATTTTGTTATCAGCATATCTTTGTTCATTGTACACCTTTTAAGACTTTTTAAATTTCATCTTTTTGTCAAAACTTTTTGATATTATTTGTTTGGAGAGCCAAAATTTTCCAGCACATATTATATTTGTATATAAATGATTTAGCTGGAGATATCTAACATTCTTTTGAATTTAGCCCTTTTATCATGGGTGTTTATTAGATTTTTTTTTACTTGCTAATTGTATAGTGTATTTTTATATGATATGTAAATATATGTGATATGTGATAAAGTTGCATTTTTTGTAGGAGCTTTTTTTTCTCATATTTTCCAATGGTCACAAAACATTCAAATGTCTAATTCGCTACAAAAATAAAATAAATTTCTTCATTTTACTTATGTCTTCTAGATTTGCCTAATAAAGCTAGGCAAGGCTATGCAGTATGATAAGGAAAATTTTTAATAGGACAGCACTACAAGCCTTTTGACACAGCGGAACATTGCTTATTTGTCCCATTTGTAACGCATATTTTACATTTTTTGACCCTCTAACCTTCATCACTGACGGCTGGAGTCAGAAGTCATAACAACATGTTTTTAGATTGAGCCACAGACACACCCTCCTAAAACCCCGTCCTATCCTTACCTGTACCAGATAGTAGTTTATAAATCCAAAAGACATTGTAAGTATACATAAAAATATTGTTTTTATTTATAACATAGTAAGCACAGATAAATAGAAATGACATTTTTGATTAACACAATTTATGATAAAAAGAAGAGTCATAATAAAATATGTTTATATGGCAAGTTGTAAAACGGACTGTATTTTTGAAACACACAAATGGAAGACTTGTACACATTAATATCTGCAAAAAGGTCTGTACCACCACACAAATAATTATGTCACAAGATGTTAAGGTAGACCATCACATACACACCAATATATTCATATTATTATACAAGTTACATAAGTATACACTGTTATATACACACCAGTATGTTCATATACAAATTATAACATAATCCTAGACTGTCACATACTAGCATACAAGTTATAATGTAAGACTAAACTGTCAGATACTCGCCAATATGTTCACATACAAATTATAATGTAAGCCTACACTGTCACATACTTGCCAATATGTTCATATACAAGTTATACGATAGGCCTTGACTGTCTCGTACACACAAATATGTTCATATTCAAGTTATAAGATACGCCTAGACTGGCAAATACACACCAATATGTTCATATTCAAGTTACGAGATACGCCTTGACTGGCAAATACACACCAATATGTTCATATTCAAGTTATAATGTAGGCCTAGACTGGCAAATACACACAAATATGTTCGTATTCAAGTTATAAGATACGCCTAGACTGGCAAATACACACAAATATGTTCACATACAAGTTATAATGAAGGCCTAGAACTGTCACAAACACACAAATAATTATGTAGATATGATGTAGATAAGTTACATACACACCATTATGTTCATGGTAAGAAAAGTATAGAGAAATGTCAGCAAAAGTAAAAATATTATGCTGGTGAAGACTTAAAATACAGACCAGAAAATACAAAAGGACTATGTCCGACTAGATGATTTACTTAAATAAAAATATCTGTTACATATTAATATCCTGAAAGACATAAAACTGATAAGTTATTTTTTGTCAGTGATTTTATCTGATATATAAAAATTTATACAAATATATGACAATAATCTAATGTAACATTTGTCATTTTTTTCAATATTGAGTAACTAAATGTATAATCTTATATCATTTTAAAGAAACCAGTACGCAGTTTTTTTTTACCAATCTTACCAGCCAATCTTTTTTAGCTAAGCCCATCAATAAAATTGTTCACAGCTCACTGTAGAAATTTTAGCCTTTAGAAACTGAAAATGCCTAGTTTTAGGTATTTTCAAAGGAATTATGCAATTTTCGTACTTTCCCAGTACTTCCGAAGACTATTTAAAAATATTCAAGACTCAAATCAACCATCAAAAATGGCAAATCTGTCCATTTGTGCCAACAAGCCAAATTTGAGGGCAAGTCAAGGGTAATAACTCCAACACTGATAATCCAATTTGTACCAATTTCGTACTTGACAAGTTTCATCAAGATCGAATAAAAACTGTAGCCTCTATTATGCACACAAGAAATGCGGACGGATGGACCGACGGCCTGGGGCGATGGTAATATACTTCCACATTTCTATGTGGGCGTATAAAAACCAATAATTATGGATGATGATGTCCAGTCAAAATTATAATATCATGTTTCTTCAATGTCTGATTCCTCTAATCGTCCTAATATTTTCATATCAAAATGAACACGATTTTCAAGACACATCTCTGCTTGTCCGTGACTAGCTGATGACAAACAAAAGCACCATTCTTTTTTACAGAGTTTATAAACAATACTCCATAGGCTTATCATGATAATCATATCTATAGCACAATGCCATGTAAATACCATGGTTACGTTGACAGAAAAACCTTCTGTTGATGAAAACATTGGTGCTTTGATCAAATAATTGGCTTGAATCAACCATGAACCAAGAAGAAATATCAAATATGTTCTCATAAATCCAAAAAGAACTTGATTGTTCATTCTGAATTCCACAAGTATGCAGACGGCAATGGTTAAACAAAGTAAACATGAAAGACTGTAGATATTATGTATTGGGTATTCATGCGCAGCAGAATTTCCAAACATTATAATTGCACAAATCAAAAATAGAACACATGTTAAAAATGCCTCAAAGCCCTCAATGAAGGGTTTTTTGAAGTACCCTGAATGTAAATCATTTAAACCAAGAAAAGCTATAAACATAGATATGGACACAAGCTCTTTGTTTTTGATGAAATGTGAATTGTCATCTACTGCGAAGGCACTAATTGAAAATGATACACCATAGATAAATTTGACTGCGCCTTCCACTGAGACCAGTTTACAGAGGTTATGATGGGTAGATAAGATGGAACGATAGTTCTGAAATTGAGTTAGACTCTGATGAGATATATAAATAAGATGGATAAACCACCATATTGATAAGATAATAAATCCACAGCCCAGCACTACCACAAATACATCAGCCATTTTTTAACAACCACTCACCAGGCACATTTTCTACCTTGAGAATTTCATTACCTTCCCATTGTTCTCTTATTCTTTTATTATATCTAAAAAATAAAACCATACTACACATGACATATTATTCTGTTCATGAATTTAAAGGAAGTAAAGTCATGATAAGCTTCTTACACTATAATCAACTGCACTGCATGACTATAGACCTAAACATCTGGCCATATTCCAGCCTCTGATAGCTATTTGGGCAGATGTCAGCTGGCTTAGAGGCAGAAAAAATAGGCCTTGTTAAATGGGAACATTCGGCATTTCTGCCGTTGTGGGGGTTTTAAACCTATTAAGATACTTCGGATCTGCAAAACCCAGGCATATTTGGAAAGATGAATATTTTTTTAGTTCAGTTGTACCATCATTTTCTCCCTACACCATTTATGACATGTGTCTGGTTCCATCAAAGTTGCTTTTGGCGAAACTGATCTAGCATCAGCCATTTAAATCTGCGTGCGCTGCCAAAATGTCAAAGGTCAGTGAGAATGTTACGGTGATGCCCAACACTAATTCACAATCATCTTAAAAATATTTCAATATTATGTTAGGTGTGGAAAATCCCCATTTAACAAGGTCTTTTATTCTGACTCTACTCCTGCTGACAACTGTCAAAATATCCATCAGAGGCTGGAATAGAGACAGATATTTTGGACTACATGACTATGTAATGCATATCCTTATTTTATTTTTTTTAGGGGGTGTTTTTTTTTACCCCACACGAGCCGACAATTTTTCATCATAGCTACATGTAAGCTATCAAGAGGCTAGAATAGAATCAGATGTTTCGGACTACGATTGCCGTCTTTTGTGCTTCTTTTCTTTCTTAATCCTTTAGGGCAATTAGGCTATATGAATTACGTGTATGATTCGAATTGCGACGTTTTCTCTCATTGAACGACCATCAATTACCCCTGCACTTGACACTTACCAGTACGATTATTTCGTTGTTGAAATCCTTATCTTCTAGCATAATCTTCCTATTTCTTCTTCTATGACCCACTTCCTGACAGGAAGAGTCAACAAGAGTGGAATATCAAATGGGAGATAACTCTCAAAACTATTATTGATAGTACTAATTCTTTGTAGTCTGTACGCTTAATATAGGAGCTGAATACTACATACAATGTAATACAAAGGTATTTAATAATATTTGCTACCAGTATCTTTTTAGAACTATATGAAACCATCATTCATAAAAATATCATTTTGAATCCTAGACTATCTCATTGAAATTTTGTTTATGTGTAGACCTAATTACAACAAATTCAACAAGTCGAAAAAATGGATACCGGATTCGTATATTATAATACAATGTATAGAGATATAGATTATACGGCTCTGGGGCTAGTCCGAATCTAGCAATAAAGCTTGCTTGGTTGTCCCTAGTTTCAAATTTCTTATCGTTGAATCATTAAGTTCTTAAATGCCCGGTGCTATTTTCCCCTTTGACTCGACCACCAACTTCATGATCTGGGCCTAATGATGCTCACTTATAGTTACACAAACAAAGATGGCGAATTTTGCATTCCACTCATAGCCTAACATGAATAGTACTAGGAGAAACAAAGGGCGTAGGTCTTAGTTTGACTGGTCAAGGGTGTAGGCCTAGTGGAAGGTTAACTGAATGAAATTATGTCTTAAAGTAAATGTTAAGTAAATATTAAAAATAATTTTTAATCTTTTCTACATGGAAATACATTATCAAGTCCCAAGTGACAAATAGGTGGCAATTTGTGTGGTTGTTTCTCCTTTCGACGATTTGATTGATAAATTTTAGGTAGAACCGGAAGTAATATTTTTGGTGGTTTGTAGTTAGCAGACTTTGTAAAATGTCTTGTAGTACTTGATGTTGAAGCGGTATATTGAGACGATGTGTGTCCTGGTTTCAATTTATCTGGAAGAATTGCGGTTTTGATTTGATTTCTTAAATGTGGTTTCGTCGAAGCTGTCTTTATTTGAGGAAGACAGAACACTTTGTCTGTTCTATGTTTGATATCTTTGATGATTGGTGCAGTTTGGACAGTCGGTAGTTTTGGCAGATGTAATTCATTTTTTGACTCTAACTTTAATCCAAAATGGCTTTCGTCTGACTTCATTTTGTGATTAGTTTCAATATCTAAAACCTGTTCAGATTGTTTTGGTGTGCTGCTTTTACCGGTTGTTATATTTGGTAGAGGTCCATGCTTTTCTTGGCTGGTGAACTTGGATTGTGATGGTTTGTTGGTTTTATTATGAGGTCTAATAGGTGGAAGAATGGTTTTCTGTGTATTGCTTCTGTAGACAGGTTGGAGAGGGTACCGTCTTTTTCCCACTTCTATTGACATTGAATTCACACTTTTCTTCGCCTTGCATTCTGATAAAGCTGTCAAGGCTCTCACCTCCCTTTTGGGCAAATGGTTTGGACTATTGGCATAATCAAGTTTTTGATAGTTATCAGTATCAGATGTTGGAATGTTGTGCATATTTCCCAATGAAGAATTAATAAATGGATCTGAAGTGTCATCAATGCCGACATATTTCTCTATCTCCTCTATGATCCTTCTTTCTTTTTCTGTTAATGACTCGGTATCCATAATCTTAACATCTTGTCGTTCAGTTTCTTTTGTGATTTCTGTTGAAAGTGAAATTTCGTTATCAATGCCGACATATTTCTCTATCTCCTCAATGACCCTACTTTCTTTACATGTTAGTGACTCGGTATTTTTTTGAAGATTGACATTTTTCCGTGCAGTTTCTGTGGAAATTTCTGCAGAAAGATCTTTAATACTGGCCATCAAGCTGGTGAGATAGGTTGTGTCTTGGAAACTTTCAGTTGCAGGTTTACAAACCTCCCCATATACAGTTTCATCATCATTGACTTCTCTTTTTGGACTTGGGCTTCTTGATGGAAATTTTGTTTCGTTGATGTTTTCAACTGTGTTTAAATCCAATTCTTCCTTAGATGGGACACTGTTGACCAGATGTTCCATCCTTTCGGTAAGAGCGATTGCGAAGGATCCAGATGTATTGTCTTTCTCTGAAACATTTGGGATACCTTTGTCTCGAAATTGGAGAGGAACCTCGTAAATTTCTGATTCCTCAAATGCCTCGGAATCTGCACTGACATTGGATGTATCTTCAAGTGGACTCGAGCTTGAAGCTGTTGTTGATGACCCTATGTCTCTAAATTCTAGCGGAACACCATGCACCACTGGTTTAGGACTTGTTGAATTAAAATCCCAATCTTTACTTTCCTCTGTTGGATGATTGACGTGAAGAATATTTTGAAAATCTGGACTTGGTGAAGGGATTTCTTTATCGTTATCAGCCTGGACTTGTAGAACATCCTGGACTCTTTGGTCAACAGCATCTTTAATGTCGGGATCTACATCTACAGGGTGCATTTCGATGTTCAACTTTCTTCCAAAGGAGTACTTGAAGAATTCCGTCTTTGGTGGTGCTTTAGGTCTTTTATTTTCCTCACAAATCTGCTCATTAGCCTTATTTTTACCAGTTTTATAAAATTTCCTGTAAAATATCAACTCCGCTTCCTGCCGATTCAGAAGGTGTTGTTGATTGTTTATCCTTTTTTTATCATAAGTTTGTGTTTGAAGAACATCAATCAGGTGTCTGAAAAATAAACATTACAGGCTATACAGGTAACTTCAATTATGTCTTCTGCCAAAATGAAAATAACATTATGTTCATCTTCACAATGTCAAGATAACTCCATCTGTAAATACCTTGACTGCAATAATACCCATCTTTGTAAATGCAGCGATTTGATTGGATTGTACGCTAGTGAATACAGCCAATTAGACAAAAAATCTGTTAACACTAAGCTTTCCGTCAAGGGCTCTGATTGGTTGTATTCCCTGGCATACAATCCAATCAAATCAAATCGCTGCAATTTTTTTTATACAAGAGAGGTAGCTATTGAAGTCAAGGGATAAGACGAATTATGAATAGATTGACATTGTGAAGTCGAAGATGCTGCTGGTTACAATATATTGTCAAAGTGATAAAGTATCATTGAACGTCTATGCAATAAAAATATTGTATACTGGTTACAGATCAATCTGATGAAAATGCAGGTTTACATTTTATTTCGTTTATTTTCTGTAGGATACCACTCTTGCCTTCGATGATCTGACATCTTTTAGTTAGTAATTCTTACTTTAAAATTTTTGAGTGTGTTCTGATATGAAGCCACAAGCAATTTAGAAATAAATTTACCTTTTAGTTTCCAGCATGTTTTTATATAAACTATTTAATTTAGTTTGTAGATGATTTATATAATCATTGATCTCTTCAGTCGTAAATAACAAACATGGTGCTGAAATATGTTGGTAGACATTACATGTTTTTATACAGATTTAGGTAAAATTACATCATTGATATACGATGTCAAGAACAAATGTTTACATCCTTAGGCCTACTTGGACATCTGCATTGTGATAGGCATTCCAATTTATTGGCGTAAACAGTTGTTTATTTCACATTAACAGGCAATGCCCTGATATCTATAAGAATTGGAAACAAAAAAAGTTTGAGGGTAAAGTGAAAGTAAACATGTATTCAAAAAAGGAAGAATCAGAGTAGCATTTTTGAGAAAAGGGTCTAACCTGTCGGTTGTACACAAGGCTGTAGGTATGACCTACTATGTTACTATTCTTAACCTACCTCGAGGAGAGGAAGTCTCTTGTATCATAGATCTCTCTTTATCTGTAGGATTATCTACATTACTGGTCTCTGGAAGACCTACAAATGTTATAAGCTTATAATATAAAATGTTAAGTTAAATATACAAGAAATAGACAATTTATTTGAATGACAGGAGCTGTTTACTTACCAGTAATTAGTGTAGGTGGAAGATGGTTTACCTCCCAGTAATTAGTATAGGTGGAAGATAGTTTACCTATCAGTAATTAGTCCAAGAGAAGAATAGTTTACCTACCAGTAATTAGTCCAAGAGAAGAATAGTTTACCTATCAGTAATTAGTCCAAGAGAAGAATAGTTTACCTATCAGTAATTAGTCCAAGAGAAGAATAGTTTACCTATCAGTAATTAGTCCAAGAGAAGAATAGTTTACCTACCAGTAATTAGTCCAAGAGAAGAATAGTTTACTTACCAGTAATTAGTCTGGGTGGAGGATATTCTTCATCTTCATCCTCTTCCATGAAACAATCAAGTCGGTGTTTTGAGGCCGGACGACAATTAATTTGTGAATTAATTGCCGAATCTTCTACAATAAATAAATGAAATGGTGTTTCATGTCTACTGCCAGTTTAGCTACCGAAACAGTGGCGACGGAAGCCTCTCGAGACTTGGGGGCACAAATTGGGGGCAGACTGACTCAATGGAGGGACAACTGTTGAAAATTTTCGAAAAATTGATTGATTCGGTACATTATAACAATTATTTTGTGGCGAAAACGTATAAAAATCATAGTTTTGAATTTCTTAAAAATAAAGTGGAGGTACAAATTGGGTGCAAATCATTTTCATAGGACCCCCTCTAAACCCAGACTATCGGCACCACTGTACCGAAAATGGGCCATGTGTAATATCTATTCCTCTTTCGATTTCGGTTTATTGTCCCATTCAAACAACAACAACTTGAAAATTTAACAGTTTAAAGTAAATAAAATTACCGGTTTTAGGTCTATGACCAGGTGTAAGTGAAAAGTTTGTATGATTTTCAGTATCTCCACTTTCCTGGGCCTTTTGTGAATCCATTTCTTCACTGAAATAAACATGGAAACTCTAACTTTTAATTTGGAACAAAATAAGCTGGAAGTCATTTTGCTTTTATTATCAAGAATGCAAACTTTTCGTTTGTAATTTTTGAGCTAAAAGAAATGATACATGAAGACAGATTTTAACTTACCAATTAGAACTAAGCTATATGCTAAGCTCAAAACGTTCTTCAGTGAAAAATATTCCACTAAAAAGTATTTTATTGCAGAGCGCAGTAAAATAGCGTCTTATTATCTGAAATATTCTGATAATAATGAGGAACAATCAAAATGACGTCAACACAATTATTATTATAACGTCAAATCTATAATAACGTCATAATTAAAGTTTATCAAAATGAGGTTCACATTTCATAATTTTGATTTTTTAAAAATTAAAAACCATATCATTATTGAAAGGCTTGATAGTTTCTCATTCTTTCTGATGCCTAAAATGCCTACAGATCTCAATAAAAACATCCTTGTCGTCCTCAAAAAATGATATACATAACATAACATAACATACCATACATACATACATACATACATACATACATACATACATACATACATACATACATACATTACATTACAGTGAGGGATTCATAAGCAGTTTTCAAGCTATTGTCATGCCACACAATATGGTACATTACTTATAAAGGTCGTCCAGGTTGGACAGGAATCACAAAAGCCATATATACACTTTCAAACTTTGGACTCCCCATACCTAGTTTCTTCATCAGCCGCCTTCTTTGCAAACCATAAGCAAAGTCCAAATCCAATTGTTCAAGAGGACTTTCAAGTAAGGTACTCATATGAGGTGCTTGTTGGCTTTTTTGTGTCCGTTTTGACCGCAATGAGATTTGCTCTGAACTGTACAGTCCGTTTTATCTTGGTTACTTTACATTATTACCTTCCGATGGATGTGTACCTTCAGTGCAAATTTCAGCTTTCCAGCTCTGATAGTTTTCGAACGGCAGACTGTCAAAGTTTTGGTATTAACCCCAATCAGTGCAACTAGACTGCCGACCCCCACCCCTGAACTAAAATGGCCACAACTTCGCCAATTTTGACCCGAGAGGTATAATTTTTGTTGTAACTGAAAGTTTAACATGTCCCCTATCTATTTTGCGCATGACTCAACATTACGCGAATTCGTGGTACATTGAGAGGAATCTTGCGCATGAATAAACATCACACAAATTCATGGGACATTTTGGTGCATTTTATATATGAATAAACCACACGAATTTATCTGACATTTTGGTGCATTTTACTCATGTTTAAACCTCACACGAATTAATGAGGCATTTTGGTGTAGTTTACACGTGAATAAACCTTACACACTTGCCTTAATAACGTTGTGCCTGTTTGACCTGTCACTAAATTAAAGTGTGTCTAAAAAAGCCATGTCTTCCAGATTTGTATTTAAAATAATTATACCCGATCATCTATGAACTTATAGTGTTGTTTCATTACGGTGCTTAAAGTAAGTCGGGCATCCTCGCCCTTATAGAATCTGTTTTACCATTCTCTTAGAGGTATTCTAATTCGATGTCCCTTTAGGAAAATTACTTTTTAAAATAAATTTCATTCTTATTTCGGTTATCTGTTGAAAAACGTTTCATAATGTGCATCCCTTCAGTTTTTCAGTCGTTTTCTTCTGATAAGAACACGCTTTACTGCAGTCAGAACTCACTTTACGACACCAAGAACATTTTCTAGTGTGAATTTTACTTCCGATCCACCTTTTTTTTTCTCAAAATCAAAATGTTTTTCGTGCTGAAATACATGTACAGACATACGGACAATATAATATTTATTTTGAAATAAAAATTTCTTTTTTCAAAATTGTATATACAGGAGCTTTTCAGATACATACGGATGTTTACTTTTTAATTTCAAATTGATAACTCCCATTGCCACAGTTCTAAAATATGAATTCTCAAACCTTCTTTTTATTCACGAAATGTCTGACATCGTCTAAGTCTGGTGATTCAATATCTGTTATGTTTTTACTCTCCTTCAAAGGGGCCACTTCGCCACCAAGGGGTGGTATTTGTGGTGGGAGAGTAAACATTCGACCTTCCTTCAAGGGACCTAATTCGCTACCACGGGATGGTAATTGTGGTGGTTGCATTACAGGTCGATCCTTCTTCAATGGGGCCAATTTGCTACTACTTGGTGGTATTTGTGGTGGTAGAGGACCTATAGGTTTTGGTGCAGGTCCCAGAAAACCAGTTCTTTGCGCTGTTGAGTATACTGTATTACCATTTGATATTGTTTCACATGCTGGATTCTTTTTTTCACTGGTTTTATTGTATGCAGATGATGGTGCACAGTCTGGTGATACACTACTCTGTAACAAAAAACAAAACGAATAAAGTCATAAATTATAAATGTCGTATTACATTATAATCTCACCTCCCTCTCATTGCATTTTATTCTACAATCTTACATTGATTATACAGAAAGACTATCTTAAGATTCTAAAGGACGAGGTATACGGAGTAATCGAATTCGTGTACGTGTTTATACATATACATGACATTCGGGATCGTGGCAGCACCCTGTACCTTCCATATTCCTACTGTTACACAGGACCTTGTATGCAGACTTGGGTCATACCTCACCTATTTACAGCTTATTACAATCTCTGGACGATTAAACGTTTACAAAGACAATAACTTTTAACTTTAATTAAATAACATAATACGGTTATATATAAATACATAAGTAAAGGATAATATAATAACTTAAAGTTATGTACTGTAATGATACACAAGGGAAATGATACAATAACTTAAAGTACTGTACTTCATATAATAACTTAAATAAATAAACCAAGTACTAACAATTCGAATCGCAAAACGAAACCCGAAATCCAATTCAACATTTTGGCGAAACATTTGTAGCAGCTAATAAACTTTTCACATGAGAAAGTATTTCAAGCATAAGTGAGTTAGTATTTCATAATGAAAGTAATGTACTGAACACAAGAGAAAAATAAAAATATTTTAGGTTGATCGTTTAGTATGTGCTGACTAGTTAAAAGTTAAAAGGTATGCTACTTATTATGCCCGTCATTTTCTGCTACTTTGTGTTGCTTGTATACAACAGGTGGCGTTAATACCAAATATTGTTTTGTTAAGAAGCTTAAAACAGAATGCGTAAAAACCTTCATTCGTTTATTGTTGTAACTCCGTACATGAATAATACGATAACTTGGTGCCAGTTATATCAGTAAATTAAGACAGTTAAGTAGGATAGAATCTGACTCAACCGGAAGTTAAAAAATTTGAGGGAAGTTGATCATATAATAGATCATGGATTTCACATAACCAATCGAAAACTTATTTGTAGGAAAATGGCGACATCGACAAAATGGAATCAAAGATTTTTGAAATAAAGGAAACAACTAATAATCGTGTTTTCGTTTTTGATTTTGGATTTTGTTTTGCTGCTATCTTGTCACACTGTACGATTTCATTCTCCCAAATTACAACCTACAATGGTTAACTTCCGGTTGGGATATAGGACTCTAAAGGATATCTATATATATATAAGTAACTTATATCGGTTTATCAAAGATAAATAAATTTAAATATTGAATTCAGAATGTCCAGTCACATAAGTTGATGCTGAATGACAACCATGAAAATACCCTAAAAAGACTTATAACTTATTGTACCTTTCACATTTTGTAATCTAGAATTGTTTCAATTCTCTTGTATGCTAAAGACTTTTCATTGGCACCTTTTCTGATATTTCAATTCTCTTGTATGCCAAAGACTTTTCATTGGCACCTTTTCTGATATTTCAATTCTCTTGTATGCCAAAGACTTTTCATATTCGGGCTTTTTTTATGTAGCAAACAGAGCTGGAAACTTTAGATTCTTACATTAGTTAATAAAAAAAAGATCTATGGAGCCTAGAAAAGAGAAATATCTCCTTTTTGAGTCTGACTGGACATTCTTACAAGCTAACCTTGATATTTCTGTGCTAAGGGATATTGTGCAAGGTTCCAGGACTGTGAATGAGAAATTTGTAAAAAAAGTGGGTTTTGTTTTTAAATAACAATTATTCAAGGGACAGGTTTGGCCATTCGTTTGAAAATCGTTCCTTAGTCTCAGAAACGTTTTACAGTTCACCGTCGAAATTGGACGGTTTGAAAATTAAAACAGCGACTCGTCATTTCTTGAGACACTATATCATTTAATGCGACAACGTGCAGAATACATACATACCCTTCAAGGTGATGTTAAAATACATGCATCGAAATGCTATGTACACTGTCATCCTAATGTAAAATACATAATTATGTATATAGTACATTTAACCTTCAGACACAGCATAAAAAAAAACCAAAAATCTGACTTATGTTTGTGATAAGTTCCCTCCCTTGAACTGTTAAATGGTCTTACTCCACTAAAACATTTTATGCAAATGATTATATGAATGTAGTCTAGGCTATTTTTTAGAAATCTTCTTTCTTTCTCCATTTTGGGTTTTTTGCATGTCTATTTTTGAGTAATTTTTGGTTTAGATTTAGAATTTGATGACTGAAATTGCATTATTTTTAAGATTTGGTGAGATGATGTGAGACTTTAAGGCGGAAGGCTAATTCTAAAAATAGCCGTTTTCTGAACTGCCAAACTCTAGCGGTTGAGTATAACCGGTAGTAGTCTAATTTCAATTTTAGGAGCAATTTAGGAGCCCAAATTTTTCATGGTTATCATATAGAATTTTTTAGGAGACATTAAGGATTGGTCAGGCTTTCATTCGACATATTGGAAAGCATTCAACGAGATTTCTGGAAAAAATTGTGGACTGTTGAATTTCGTGTTTTAACATGGGAAGAGATGGCTAAACGAATTAGTAGAGTGATTCCAAATCTAATTAAAAAAATATTTCCATTACTTCTCTTTAACTACTTCCCTTTTTTCCTTCCTGTTTTTCGTGTTTATTGTTTATTATTATGCAATTGCAATCAAATTTCTGATAATTCTTTGCTTACCTTCTTGTTCTTTTTCTTAGACAAGTAAACGGCGATGGCTATAATTATAATGAGGCCTACAATTACACCACAAACTATACCCACTATCAAACCGACACTATCTGCAATATTCATAATTAAAGGGATTGTAAAGATATTTCCAAAACTTTATGTGTTTCGGGGATACTGAAAGCATTCATTTTGCACAGTTCTAATACTCAAGCAGACGTCTGGTTTTAGAAATTTGACTAAATCTTAGCATTTTATGACGACACTATCTATCGCCAAAGCTGCTTATAATATGAGATAGTGACGTCATAAAACGTTTAGTAATAGTAGAACCACAGACGACACAGGGCTAACGAAAAGAAAAAAGAAAGAGAGAAAAAACTATATTTTACAAGGATAACAACTTAGGTTCACGGTTAAGTTACTTTCTACTCGAGGGTCCTTGGCCAAACCTCGATCTTTCCCGGATTAAAAAAAGGTCCCTTGAGTTGTATGAATATGGAAATATGAACCAAGAAACGTAATCCTTCAGACATTCTCCTTGATATTTTCATTAATTGTCAATAGTTTTCACAATGCTAAACAAATAAGTATATATTAGTGCCGAATGCAGTATTATGGTCAATATAATAACAAATAGAATCAGAATGTATCTCATATCTCAATGGCCCTAACTATAATACAGAGCCGTATAGCCATAATATCATGAGAATCTAAATTTAGTGGCTTACCTTGACCATCATTATTAGATCCAACTGGAAATAGAAACATAATGTTAATATTATATAAGTATACATGACAGTAAGAAACACATTCGCTCATTAATGCCGATGTGCGCAGTGGTGTGTTCCGCGTTGAGCATAGATATGCATACTCCATTCACCATATTTAGGGAACTGAACCTCTCCCACCCTGAAAAATCAATTGCCATCGTGGTCGATGGTATCCCTACACGTTTCTCGGATGGGATATTGGCACGATATCGCTAGTTTTTCATGACAAAAGCCGTTAAACGTTTGATAAATCCCATCCGTATATCACGTCCGAGGAACGAATGGGCCAGATTTTTCGGGCTTTGTCGATAGGTTGGTTGTGGTCGTGCACCAATCCTACTCATACGTAAATAGTCACCTACCTTGAGGGAAATTTGATGGAGTTATTGAAGAACTATTAAGAACTATATTTGTGGTTTCTTGGTTTATAAACTCCGTTGTAGATGGTGTATCTGGGGTCGATGTTCCAGTTATTGGTGCCTCGGTTGTTGTTGGCTCCTCTGTTGGTGTTAGTTGTTCAGTGGTTGTTGGTTCTTCGGTTGTCGTTGGAAGACAGTCATCTAAAGGAACTGTTCTTTTGTTATTCCCGCAAGCAATATCTAAAGTTGAACTATCGTTTGCTGAAATTGAAAGGGTCACGAATAAGCTAAGTATAAAGATCTAAGACCCGCACAGCACAGCAAAGTAGAGACTTTAAGATATAACATAATAAGCTACGAGAACGTAACGTTTTACACCAGGGGCCTTATTCTCGAAAACTTAATTAAGATAAAATTCAGATTTTAGGAAATAATATAATCTGACTGGATAACAAAACTTAAATTTAAATCGATTTTAGAGTTCGATCAATCAGATGACTGGAACACTAAAATCATTTTAAGTCATTTTTTCAAGAATAGGTGCCTTGATTGGGTTAATAAAGATGGTAACACCTCGCAGTGTATAATGAGGGACGGTGACATTCGATTTCCAACTCTCGGGAGATGTTAAACTTGCATAAACTGTAGCACACGTAAGGGGCCTCGGTTTATAGTCCCATCCCAACTTTAGACGCTTTTTCCGTGTCAGACATGACAGTGGGAGACGATGTCGAAAAATTCGAAGGCGTACCTATATTTGTGCTTTAATAGAATCCTAAAACGGACAGGTTAGCACTTAAGTTTACAGCTCGCTAACCTGAATGTCCAGGGTTCAATCCCGGCATTGGTCGAGATAATACCTTCGGATTTTTCAACCCGGTTTCCCCCTGTCAGTGATGCAGGTAAGAGGGGCTGACATGGAAAAGCGTCTAGTCGTTCGGATGGGACAATAAACCGGGGCCCCGTGTGCTACAGGCTGTGCACGTTAAAGATCCCTTGACAGTTGGAAATCGAAAAAGAGCAGGCTAATGCCGCTGTCCAGACAAAATTTCCCTCATTGCACCCTGCATGGCGTTGCCCGTCTTTATTAGCCCACACGATGCAGAAAAGTAGGACGTAAAACCCCATTCATTTCATTTCATTTTTTCTTAAGTTTACAACTCAATCAGGAACTCGAATTGAACAGTTTTATAAGTTGCCATGAAAGAATGAAATTGAATTCTTGTTAATTTCAAGCTGACGAATAATCCCCATTAAAGTATTAGATGTGTAATTGATACAAACCTTTTATGTAAATCCAAAATTTTGAATCGTCAGCAAAATCAATATCTATAACTAGAAATCGTCGAGAGTTTGTAAGGTTTATTTCCCTGTACTCGTACAAATTGTTATGGGAACTATCGAAGGTACCAGTGGAAGATCCAAGTTGTACATCAATGGCCGTTAACTCTAACGCGGAATCGCAGGGCACTTCGATACTACAAGCCATTTGTGAGTTACCGGAAGTACTATTCGGATAACCAATATTCTGTAAGTGTACGTCTGATCTTGATATTTCTATATCACCATTAGGCTGAATAATTTGTGAATCTGGAAATGAATTATTGTCAGAATACATTGGTAGCTTTCCAGCAGTGAAAATTGGGACATATATTTGGGCAATTGATATCGCCAGATTTTTCAAGCCGGTTAGGCTCTTCTGTAGAAATATCCAAGTCAAATGTTTTTTCAAATTCAAAAAATGGCGTTTTATGACTGTTTTCTAGATGAATATCTTAGCGAAACAAACCATTAAGCGATAGAGGATAGGTCGAATCTGACAGAAACTTCATCAAAAAAAAACTCAATAAGATGCAAAATTTTTTTCCCTTAGCTGGTTTTCGTTCTAAATCTTTCTAAAATTTTGAAGAAAAAAAATATTTACCAGAAATACACTGGTACTTTGCCATCATATAACTGGAGTAGTCGAAATGGGTTCCAGATTCACACCCTATAGCTCTATGCCACGTCGCCTGTTCATTACAATTATCATACCCTGTACAATTACGGAATATTTCAAAAACCTTTGGCCAAGTTGCAGATTTCTTCGAGTGAAAAACGTTAACCAAACAGTCAGCTGACTGGTCATACACACAACAATTAGTTCTGAAATGGTAATGGCAATCCACATTATTACATGATTACTCGTGATTATCAAATTAAAGAGATTGTAAAGAGGTTTTTCTAAAAAAAATTATACTTATCGGGAACACTGATAACATCATTTTGCACTATTCCAAATTTCAATCAGGCGTCTGTGGTTCCTGCCATTCCACTAAAACTAAGTGTTTTATGACGTCAACCCCTCAAAATTGACTTGTATCACATAAGACCTTTGCAGGGTGACGTCATAAAAAAAATCTCTTATACTATAGTATCTAAATATAAATGTATCAAAGTAGCCATCTTGTTATTCGAATCTCATAAAAGAATCTGGAGCCGAAGTAAATAATGATTACGTCAAGTAGCTGACGCTACAAGACTGTTGACTCTAGAAGACTACCTGTCATGGCAAAATTTCCCTCGTTGCACACTGCGTGATGTTATCTGTCTTCTTTAGCCCAATCAGGTGCAGAAAAGTAGGATGTAAAACTCCTTTTATTTCAGTTAAATCTAATTTTCTTAATAGATTAACTGTCTGGGCGTCACTTTCTTGCGATACCGTTACTTACAGCGAGTCATTATTAACTGGTGGTTGACAGGAAGTATTCCATTCTTTAACACCATAGTACATCTCAGTAATAGCAATCATATTTGTTGCTGGACACTGTAAACTTAACCAATACATATTCACATTCGCTCCTGTTCCAAAGCACGCTTCTGCCTTCTCGGGAAGGACACCATGGCTTTCAAATAATCCTTAAATCAAAATTTAACAGATTCTATTGAACTTAAACCCAAAATTTTGTCTAAAACCCCAATTTTTTGTCTAAAATCCAAATTTTGTGGCATTTCAGATCGATAGGGTTTGTTTTACTTTTTCAAAAAGTACCAGAGAATCAAAAGAGGTCTGCTTGCCCACATAGACAAGCAAAATACAAGTTCATCATAATTTTATTCCTTCGTTTGTTTGTTTTTTTTTTTAGCTTTTTTATTTAATTTGCCACTTTGACGACGCTGGGATTTTTGTGATCCGGTGCATTCAGTGTCTAATGCTGCTCGAAATAACCTTTTGTTCGCTTCACATATTCCAAGTGTTGGAGAGGGAAGAAATTTTATTGGCTGACAAACTGACGAATGTCCAAGAGGCCCGACTTAAGACCCTAACCGAAGTGGCCAAATTAAAAATAAAAGCCAATAAAAACGGTATGAAAGTTTGGTCTAATGTGAATTAGACTGCGTTTCATGTTGGTGTATAAAAGGGAGAATATGTGACAGTGGGGGACAAAATGCCATTATGTCACGCATGTCACTGCCATGAGCATTGGTAGGTGCACGCCCGACATAAAATTACGTTCGCAATATGATTCTGTAATTTAGATTCGGTGCAGTAAAACTGACTATCTAATATAACTTATAAGATACACCGCAATACGAACAAAAAGAATTTCGTTTTTTGATTGAAAAAAAAAAGCTTTGTGAAGTTTATTACATGATAATTTGTCACAATATTATCATTAAATAGGGTGGAGAAGTCTGACATTTTCTTTTTGCACTTAAGTTCAATGAATCATTAAGCATTATATATCATCAAGATAATGCCGAATGTCAAGAACAAGGGAGTGAAGGATAGAACGTCAGAATTTGGTGCAGAGGAGGAGAGGGGGGTGGGGGTACTGAGCTGCGTTCGCGATTTGAAACATTGACTGATATCTATAAAGAACACAACACACAGTTATAAAGTGTCCATAGATATAACATAACAAAAATTCAGCCTTATGGGATGCCACGCATAAATATGATATTCCATTTTTTAAGAGAAATAACCAGTGGCAGCGTCAGCCTTCCGAGACTGGGGGTACAAGTAGGGGGCAGACTTACTCAATGGGGGGACAACTGCTGAGACTGAATTCAAATTTTGGCTACTCTGTGGTGGTGTCATAGTCGCAAGCCACTCATAGAGCGTCTTAGAGAGTTCTCTCAAGAACATTTTACTGATTTTGTGCATTCTGACACATATTTTGGAGAAATAAGATAAACATTTAGATTTGTTGAAAATAAAGTGGGGGTACAATTGAGAGCGCAAACCACTTTTCTAGGGGGACACATATTTTTGACCAATCATACTTTAGTCTCAGAAACGAGATTTTGTTTTAGCTGAGCCAATCAGTAATATTGATCACAGCTCACAGTCGAATTTGAGCTTTCAAATCCATGTGTGTCCAGAATTATCCGCGTTTGAATGTTAAAATGACGACTCGTCAATTTAAGATACTCTATGATATATAGAAAAGACATATATAGAAATAGTGTGTAAAATTCCTAGTTTGAAGTTCTATTAAAGGAATTATGCGATTTTCATACATTTCTAGTACTTCTGAAGACTATTTACATATATTCAAATCTAAAATCAAGCCCCCAATATGGCACCGCTGTGCCTTTAAGGCGTACTCAGAGATACTTCTTTAATTCAATATCACACACGCCGAGGCCTAATAGTGGTTTTACGATGTACAGGTTATATTTCCCGAGTTAGAGAGGACAGTAGAGCATGCTCACTTATCGGAATGTGTTTGACAACTTCAGACCACCCAGATAGTTGTTTGAAAAGCAAATCTGAAAGTTTATCATTTTTGCATCGTTTTCGAACGAAAGACTGTCTGCAAAGAATAATCACTAAGGACGAATAATGAAAACGTATTTAGTTACAGGGGCAGTGTTCAAAATTTTCATCATTAAATCGTTTTAAATTTAATTGAAAATATTTAGAAAATGTGCTATCTACATCTATGTATCAACTTTGATCAACTTATATTTTAAAAGGGTTAATTAAAAACTAGGTTTGCTGCTGGGCATTAACAGATCAATAATTTTAGTCTAAAGAGACAGAAGCGCCATTTTCGCGGATTGATTGAGGTCTTAAATATATGTAAATAGTCTTCTGAAGTACTATAAATCGTATAATTCCTTAAGACACCTGATATATACTATGAAATTAGCGTTCAATTTCTATAGATGTCTTTTCTATACATACATAGTCTCAAGAAAAGGGTCTTTTTTAACTTTCGAACGCTGATAATTCTGGACACACATGGATTTAAAGGCTCAAATTGCGAAGGTTAGCAAAACTATTACTGATTAGTTTAGCAAATTGCGGCTGTTGGTTTAATTTTCGATCGGCGTGTGATGACCTTGAATAAGTCATCTTCACTCATAATTCCAGTCGACCCAGCTGTTAATGGGTACGGATAATCCAGGAAAGATCAATGTCAAGAGGTTTAGCCGAGGACGACCTGTAGAAAGGATCCTTAACTGTGAAAATAAGTTGTTAACCTTGTAAAATATAGATGTTTCCTTCTAGCCAAAAGGTTCCCGTTTCTGAGACTAAGGTACGATTGTTCGAACCAACGGCGCATCTTTCCTTTAAAATAAGAATAAATTGAAGACATATTTCTCTACAATTTTGCGCTTATTTGCTTGAATCCGTATATCGACCAAAAACATAGCCACTTGGTTTACGTTAATCATTTAAATATTTTTAGTTTTCGGAAAATTTACATAGTTAAAACTTTCAAAAAAGGTAAGGGACATATCTCTAAATCTATAGTTTTTATAATTCGAACACCTAACTATCCAAACCTACTCAGTGGGGTTTCCATTTTGGTGCATGCCCCCTCCCCACTCCACCTACTTTTTTTTATCATTTCGCATAGTATGTCCAGACTAAATTTTGTGGCCCCTTCTCGGCCCCTTACCTAATGTTTCCTAAAAATGCCACTGAAACTACTTTCAAAAATCAGACTGTTTCTTTAATTCGGGTTTTCCAAACATTACAAAGTGTAAGTTTCATTTTTGTAGTCAACTCAAAATGTTTAGGCCCGACAGCAACTGCAAGCATCTACATAAGTCACTGAATTTAGTCGCCCGGAGACTATATATGAAATCAAAAACCTCAATTGACTTCTTATGTTTCTTATGTTCTACTTCCTAGTAAATTTGACTTCCCATCGACCTCTAACCAGTCAGTTACTGCTACTTCGATGAGATGATTTGATTGCTAGTGCCACTGGGTTTGGACAAAAAACACACTTCAATAGTAAGGTCATTGAAGAAGACAAAAAGATGAATCAGAACTTACCTAAAATACACAATGTCAAAAGGTACATTTTCCCCATCTTCTTCATCACACGTTAAGCCGCTATTCAGTTGTTATTTAAACCCCTTTATATATTTAAAATTCATGTTATAGCTGTAACAACTACCTTGTCATATTACATTGATTTCACAGTGTTAAATTACCATATACATATTTAAAGGGATTGTAAAGAGGTTTGCTAAATTTTGTATGTGTATCGGGTACACTAATAGCATAAATTTACACCTTTCCGATTTTCAATCAGACGTGGGTGGTTTCTGAAATTCCATTTAAACGTTTATGGGCGTCACTAAACGCAATGTCCTTTTGTGATACAGCATATTTTGCGATTTGTGATGTCATCAAACACTTAGTTTCAGTGAAATTTCAGGAACCACAGACGTCTGGTTTAAAATTGGAATGATACAATTGATGCTATCAGTTTCCAAGATACACATACAAATTTTAGAAAACCTCTTTACAATCCCTTCAAAGGGCTAAGACATCAAACATTGCTTTCCAACCTGAAATAATAGACGTAAATCCGATTTAGGCTCGTCTGTAGTTAAAGAAAAAAAGGGCCGCAACGACAACATTTCAGTCCAAACTCTCGGTTGTTGACAAACTATTTTGATAAGAGTCTGAAGTTATTTTTAACATAATAAGTGCTAAATCTGAAATCACGGACCCATATCCATCTACCTTGCTAGACGACTTGTATCTTTACAATGTCAAATTATTAGAACAGTGTATTATACCTTGACTGCAATAGACACCTTTCTTGTATCACGGGAGCTTGTAACTACAGCGATTTGATTGGATTGTACATTGGGTAATACAACCAATCAGTCCCGACACAGAAGTCTGTAAGCACTAATGTCATAAGGTAATTCTTTCCGCCGAGGGCTCTGTATGTGCATTCCCTGAAACAAGAAAGGTGGCTATCGCATTCAAGATATTAGTACGAAGTTCGTAATACCTTGCCATTTGTGAAGATGGACGACCCTATACCTTTAACGTTGAAATAGTATATGGTATCTCACAAAAGTTTCTTATAAATTATATATCGGCCCCTTTTACATCCTGAATAACTAAATATATACTCTGTAGGAGATATAAAACTTCTGGCATGACATTTATCACTCAATCAATTGATCTCAATCGCTAAAGAGACCTAGCCGTAAAATGATAACAAATAGATAACAGAAAAGCAGATTACAAAAGTGCTTCGTGTTCAAAACTACAGAAATATTTGACACTGTGGCAGGTCATCTTAGGTAAGACTGAAACGGACCACCAAACTGAAGACTGTCAAAGGGAAATTATGGTCGAACAATATACGTGTGCTGATCTTGATTGATTATAAGAGGTTTTCTCTCAAGCATCGATTTGCACCATTCCAATTTTCAGTCAGACGTTTGCGGTCCCCGTAATTCCACTACAACTCTTTTTTATCATCCCTTAGATATTATCAGCAGCTTTTGTGATAGTGACTTCATAATATACAGTCAAGCATTTGGATCTTGAGGAACCCCACGAATCTGACCAGCAAAATATCGTCTTACTTACATTTTAAATCATTGATATTAATTTTCGATGATTTAGGATACACAAGTAATAGTTGTTAAAAAGACAAACCTACTTTTTTACCATACACTTCGAAGATATATGATTACCGATAAGTATCATTGAAAATGAATTAAGAAGCCCCACTAAATAAATTACGACCCATAACAAATCGAACTCGAAATCGAAATCGACCTTAATTGTTGCCAAAAACGGACGCAAAATAGATCGAAACGGAAACAAAGGGAAAATTAGAAATGGATCCAGTTAAAAAAAATCTTTCTAAATAATATTATAGTAGATCTTTGAGAATAGCCTCTTTTGAGTACCTTAAAAGGCGCTTGGACAATAAATTGAACTGTTTGAACTTTGCTTATGGTTTGCAAAGAGGAACCGGAAGCGTCTGGCGTAGATATTACATATCGATAGACAAGGGTCCAACATATAAGGGGTTGTTTTCAAGTCTTTTTTGTCCTTTGGTTTATTTTCCCGACATTTGCGACCATTCCTTTAAACTTGACCATTATAGTCACCATCGTAATTAGCATTGGTTTCAAACCTGCTTTGAAATCTCTTACAACCGAATTATCAACTGTAAAACCATACGAAACTACGTATGGTTCTTGTACATGGAAAAATTACACGTAAGAACCATACGTAGTTGTGTATGCTGTGGAACCTGAAGCATTTAATGCGATTTAATCTTCAAGTAATATTATGTATATTATTTTTCGTACAGCAAGAATGTGGTTTTCCTTTGATCTCCCAATGCAATAAGTCTTATGGAAAATAATTTGTATTCATAAATTTGAATACCAAACGTGTGTTTGAAATATATACTATTGATTTTAGAAATAAATCTAGTGTTTAACAATGTCACTTGGGCCACGAAGAAATTTATATCTAGAGATAACAAAAACCAAGCAATAACATTTTCAATACCCTCGGGATATTTTAAGAACCCAAATTAAAAAATATCATTCTTGTAAAGTATGAAACTAGGCAGAGGTAATATCCACGTGAAGGGTTTTGCGTTTCCATCGCGCGCCATTTTGCAAGCGTTGATTCGCGACACATATGGCACACGTGTCACAAGTTGAGTGTTTCTTCCTAAATGCAATATTTATATCTTTAATCTAAAAGCAATATCTTAATCTACTTGCAATAAATAAATATAAATATAGATATGAATATAAAGAATAGGGATAAGAGATTAGACAATTCGTTTTGTTGTTTGAAGACGATTATTTTAAAGTCACAGGTTTGCCATTTTCCGGCTTCGATTTGGGTCTTGAATATAGTAGTCTTCAGAAGCACTATAAGTAGGAATTCTCTTTATAGTTCTATGTATGCCTTTTAAATGGTAGACTCTCAAGAAAAGACAAGTCGTCTTTTAACTTTCAAACATGGATAGTAGCACTGAAGGCTCAAATTTCATTTCGATGCTGAGCTGTGAACAATACTACTGAATGGCTTAGCTACAAAAATTCCCGTTTCTGAGACTAAGGTACGATTGTTCAAACTGATAGCGAATCTGTTCCTTTAAACATACACCAATCAACTACTCTGTTCTAGTGTCTCCACTTAAATTCTAGCGATTTATTACCTATAATCTGTGACTATATTATACAGTGGCTTTGATTTGTCACTTGTTAGCACAAATGTTACGTAATCAGACCATAGCTGCAGCATACCGAGTGTTGTGGGTACAAAGATCTTCGATATCATGGCATACGAAATTATCTAAATTGTGACACGATAGCAATGAGCCACCATTGATCTGAAATGCAGCCTCCGTGGTCTTTGAATGAAATAGTTACAAATTATGCGTAATGCTTACTGAAATGTATGTCTTGTGTTAAAATATACTTTCATAATAATTGCTCACGTGGCATCAAGATCCTTAAACATTTGTGCTTATGATTCATTTTGCCGACTACAATCTTACTTTAATTAGGTTATTTAGTGCTTGAATGAAATCTGTCGTCATTTTATTAGACTGATCTTTCCCCTGCTTCCTATAGGCTACAATTACTATAGAAAAACCATTTAACGTACTAAAAAGCATCTTTTCTGACCCCCCCCCCCCTCCTTTCGTAGAAACGCCACTGCTTCTATTGCGATTTATTACCGATCTTTGACTCATCACCTGTGCTATATGATATCATGCACTAAGCCTAACATTGGCTTTGGATGCTATGGTAGATAGTATAACAGGGCATGCTAGTATGATCATTATATACAAGCACCCGATTTTCCTGGAGTCGTTATTTTATATAGATTAATAAACAATAATTCTTTAATTTTAATATGTATCTACTTCCTTCTTGGGAACCTAATTTGTTTTAAAGGGACAGAAGCGCCATTTTTGGCCAATTGTAACAATTGGAATTTCATAACTAAGTTAATGTGTTCAGAGTTCACAGTCGAAATTTGAGCCTTCGAATTCATGTGTGTCCAGAATTTTCAAAAGTTTTCTTGACACTTTGTCATATATAGGAAAGACCTAGTTAGAAATAGAAAGTGAATTTTTAGTTAGAGGTATGTTGGAAGGTATTTTGTGATATTCGTGTAGTTTTAGTTCTTATGAAGACAATTTACATATAAATATATAATACGTATTCAAGATCTCAATCAATTCCAGAAAATGGTGAGCATGGCATTTAATGCATAGGCCTATAATATGCTATATAACGGAAAGTATGAATGTTCAAAGATACAGAGAACAGTTCTTGATACATGACAGTATTCTGTTGTAAGAATGTTAATATCTAAGAAAATATTTGGTTATTCCCCGACAAAAATCAGTAATTATGTTATTGATATACGACACATATAAACAATAATGCGAATCCAATTGAACTTCCTACTTAAGAATCAAAAGTCTTTTAAAGGTTTATTATTTCAAATTTGAATGGCTATAGTCGTCATATTTTTCTCACTCTACTAGAAAATTATAATAATATATTTCAGTATTCAGGAGATTGTCATTGGTTTTCTCAAATATTATAAGCAAATGTTTATGGGTAGTACAGGTGAATCAGTACCAATTTTTTGTGAGCTTAAGAATAACAATTATACTCAAGAAAGTTATTTGTACGTACACAAACTGGAACAGCAACTCAGGCTCCACCTGTATACTTTGGATTCAGTGGCGGCGCCAGGGGAGTAAATTGTAAATTTAAAGATATGTTTTTGAACCAAATTATGTGTCAGAATGCACTAAGTCAATTATATTTTACGAAAATTTCAAGCGAGACACTTCATGATAAGATAAGATTTATTGCCCATTGTGGGCGACATACAAATATAAAAACAGTACAACAATGTGAAAAGATATAATGGATATAGATATGATGTAGATATATGATGATACATGTCAGAAATCGGCTTTTAATCATATAGCCTGGATCATTCGATGGTACATAATGAAAGAGTCCAGAACTATCTGAACTCGGCTCCTTTAAGGCTGAACAGAGACAAACTACTTTCCAATTAATTACGACGTTTTGCTTCAATATGTTTCTTTCTAACCAATATAAACAAACACCAAACAAACATTAAGTCATTTTTTTGTAAATAAACAAGTTTTAAGTCAATTTGAACACGTGTTAATTTTACCTTGAGTAATCACAGACACATCTAATTTAAACAAGAGAACGAGCTCGCTATTTCCTTTCCAGTGGTAAAGTTATTTTTAGTGTAAGATTCTGAGGGAGGCGGTTATTGGAATCATAGTCTGTGCGTTGTTTTGAATAGTAAAAATGATTCGATATATTATTTTGTTAATTTGTGTTTGTGTCGTATTAGCACAGTTCAAACGAGGTAGGAATTTTAAATCATAAAACAAGAATATTTACATACCGATATATACCATCTAAGAAAGCTAGATATCAGTCGAACCCTTTTTTATTTTATTTTTTAATGTAGCACAGATAGCAGATAACCAATCTAAATAAAATTAGATAACAATTTCGTTTCTTTTGTTTTTTTTCTGGTATTTTTTGTATTTATTGTAATCTAACAAGTATTCTACCGCAGTTACGTTCTGATGACGTGATTTTTAACCAATTAAAGTGCTTCATTTGCGTATAACGGGGCTGTGGGTAAAATCTTGTTGGGTTTCAAATATCATTGATTTTGTGGAGTAAAAGCAATTGCAGACAATGCTTCTCTGCACAACTGTAGTCATTGTGTGAAAGGTATACAGCCTTAAAGATGGGTTCCCTTATTTTCTTTTATGAATAGAAAGTAGAGGTGTTTTAATGACTTGGAAAAATACCAGTTTGTCTCACATGTCCATAATTAATTCATAATGAGCTAAGTTAGAAGAGAATTACCAGCAGCATTCCAATGAGTGGCAGATCAAGAAAGGTCAAAAAGTCTTTTTTTTGTTTATCCAGACTGTACAAACACGGACATTTATGATTGGTTAAACTTTTAATTATATGCAATAAGAACATCATGATATGATTAAGAATACATGAATAATTTATTAGAAACACCAATTAATCAAATAGTTTGCTTAATTTGACACTAAAAAATAAGGAAACCCATCTTTAAAATATTCTAGGTAAACCCCGAAGAAAGTCAGCTAAACCTCGATGGGACTGTACAGATATTGTAGACGGTTTATACATTGGCGATTGTTTAAATTTCTATAGATGTAAAAATGAAACAACCGAACACTTACCATGCCCCGGTAATCTGGTTGTCAATGAAAGACAGATGTGGTGTGATTAGTAAGTACCTAACCACTCAAGTTGGTATGCACACCAAACCATATCCTTCGAACTTCGTCTCATGCCTTGCAACCAATAGCCGCCTTTCATGTAACATAGAATGGAGCGATTTGATTGTATTGTACGCTAGAAAATACAGCCAATCAGAGCCATCGACAGAAGGACTGTATACATTATGGATTAGTGTTTACAGATTTTTTGACGAGGCCTCTGGTTGGCTGTATCTGCTAGTGAACAATCCAATCAAATCGCTGCATTCCGTGATACAAGAAGGATGATTATTGCAGACAAGGTATTAGACGAAGTTCGTTGCTCGAAATCTGATATGATTAGTAAGTACCTATAGCAATTCTTGTTGAACTAACATTCTTGGTATTAAAGGGATTGTAAAGATGTTTTCTTAACTTTTTCATGATTATCGGGACACTGGTAGCATCTATTTGCATCATTCCGACTTTAAGTCTGACTTCTGTGGTTCCTGCATTTCCATTGAACTAAGCGTTTTATGATATCACTATCGCAAAAGGTGCTGAAGATATCGATTTGCTTATGAGATTTCGTCTGTACACACAAGCTACACCTCCATCGTTACTGATTATTAACTGTTCTTGTATTATTTGTGATAATGTTTATATTTTAGTAAAGATTTAGTACCACCTCCATGTGGTACAGCTCCTAATTGTACTGGTATTATTGATGGTAACTATCCGGATTACACCCGGAAATGCCAGTATTATTATACATGTTTACATGATGATTTTTATGGTTATACCAAATGCGCTGCCAGTGAGTACACGTTACCTTCCTTTAGTAGAAAATGTAAGATGTCAACAATCTTTTGAGAACCACGATGTTAAATAAGGTGAAGGTTGTTCCTGGCGCAGGAATACTTGCTCATTTTTCTGCCAGAACACCTACTGCCGCTCTGCTATTGAGATTGTATTTCATATTGATTTTTCGAAGTTGTTAGACCCCGTATAACTAATTCAGCATGAAAAAGCGGATTGATAAGCTATTATATAATCATCTGAGGGACGTCATTCACTTTGGTGCAGATTTATCAGACTTTTGAGAACAATAATACCAAATTAATACATGAACGTTTGGTCAATGACGATAAAACGTTGGTTACATAAATTACCTTCTGATATTTTCTCTTATTTCTATATGCATGTGTATTTTCAATTATTTTGCCGGCACCGTCCGCCTGTCCACATTTTCTCGAAAGCACTCACGTTCTGCTGTCAAAATGCCGAGCACCATCACGATTTTAGGGATGTTGGGGATTCATGATAACAGATTCGTTAAAGCTTGAGGTTTATTTAGTAATAAAAAAATGTTATCATAAAAAGCTTTTCTCTAATTTTAGATCTGTTATTCAACCCCGAGAAGAATAATTGTGATTGGCCATTTTTAGTGAAACCACCTTGCGGAGATGCAGCTGAATCTGTTTATCCTGTAAAACCTGACAGAGTTGGTTGAAATATATAAAAACAACATTCTCTCATCTAGTTATTTCAATTTATTCTGATATATTGCACTTGCATTATCACTACTAAGCTAGTTGGTGCATATCAGCCAATGCAAGCATTTTAGTTCACCAGGAACATTGTCGTAAATTACCGCCCATTTTCAAGTTCGTCAGTCGACTTTTGCATGTATCATTAAAGTAAATAATCCGTAAATTCAATATACCTCGGAACGTGCTAATCCAGTAGATAACTAAAACTTTGATTGGATTTTATTAGTCAGATTACTTAGTACGTCACGGTAATCAACAAATATTATCGTTTCGGACAGAAAAATATTCTGGGAAAATTTCGAGCAAACCAGCCAGCCTCCTCAAAGTACTCAGAGGTAGGTGAACTTCTTTCTTCAGCACTTCACTGCAGAATGCGAAAATTACAATTGACATAAGGCCACATGTTGAGTTTTAGAGTGAATAAAAAGACTTTGACGAAACTTGGTAAGTGTTTGTACGGATGAACACTATTGAAAATCATAATAATCCAAACATATTTAGTACGAGTTATTACCGTTATTCTTGAAAACGCGTTAAATTTTTAGCTCGTAAACACTCTAGAAGGCAAAATTCTTGAAGGATTTTGACGAAACTTGGTGAGTGTTTGTAATCACCTAAGAATGAACTCTATTGAAAATCAGAATAATCGAAAAATACTTAGTACGAGTTATTGCCCTTATTCTTGAAAACGAATTCAATTTTTAGCTCGTAAACACTGTAGAAACTTGGTGTTAGTGGTTATAATCACACAAGGATGAACTCTATCGAAAATCAAAAAACTTGAAAAATATTTAATATGAGTTATTGTCCTTGTTCTTGAAAACGCTATCAATGTTTATCTCGTAAACACTATAGCTCGATTCTTGTCGGATATTGATGAATATTTCATACTGAAAATGAAAAAAAAACATTATTGCATATGATTTTTTTCCAAAAACCCCTATAATTATGCTTTATGCACACAAGGATTCTTGACATGATGCCAGTTTTTAGCAACGAGGATGGACAACGCCATGTAGTGCGCAATGAGAACAACATTGACAGATAGCCTATTACAGATCAACATGAAGTATTACTAAAATACTCCCTAATCTGAAATCCTCTTGATATTAAAAAGAATAACAGAGGACATCACAAAATGCATCACAGGAAATCCAACATTATGCCTACACTTTGTCAAGACATTGGTAGCAGCAAGTGAACTTTCCATAACAATGGATGGTTTTAGTTTTTGTCCACATTTGTTTCACGAATTACCAACACAATATTCTTTATAAGTCGCTCACTTCGTCCTAACATGTCCACATTTTGGTATTTGACTGAATCTGAAACAGCAGGTCGGTAATGATGAAGGAATACGTCATTCGGATCCAAAAAACATTCCTTGTTAAAGCTAGAAACGAAATATTTTACGGCATGAATTTTACAAATCCAAATTTGTTGTGGATCAACTAATACTTTCGATCTTTCACCATGTGAATAAAATTCCGAATGGTTCGTCCATAAGAAGGTGTTTAAATCATATGTTTTAGCCAATTCCTTAAAAGGAAACAATTCTTTAGTCAGACCAGGAAAAAAGAACGCATTCTGAAATGAAAGTGAGTCACATGCCTTATGATCATCGACAATTTCTTTCCAAGTGTGATATTTTCTGGATACCACAAGTTCGTCAATATCAGCAAATAGAACATAGCGGGATACGTGCAGATTTCTCATTAAGCAGTCATGCATGTGTAAATATTGTGCATGATGATGCACGTCCTCGCCTGAGTTGGACGGAATGGGGAGCTTCCAAGGATGTATTTCCACAATGCCCTTCTTTTTATAATATTCCAGAATATCTAAAGCAGAATTATTCTCATAATCATACAAATCAAAATGATCTGTGCCCATTAGACGATCGTATTCTATCATTTGTATGATGTTAATTCTATTGGTATAATTGTACATTGGTTGAATACACCGAGTTACATTACGTTTAAAATGAGAATCTGCGTATTTGATAGTTAGTATATTCTGTGGATATGTCATATTGGTATATCTGTATTTGGTTGAGGTGGGAATTAATGATATTTCTGTTAAACGATCTTGAATGCCTCCTAAACTACATCTGACAAATCCTGAGCTATACCTGAAAAACAAAAAGGGAGGAAATCCTAATAAATCATAGGACATATTCTATAGATATACTACCTTTTTTCTAGACCGTATAGGCTAATAGGTGGGTTTTAAAACCCAACCGCCCTACCACCCCTACCGTAAATAAATAAAAATGCGTTAAAAGGGGTATAGTTTCATAATACGAAACGAAACTAGATTTGGCGAAATTTTTGTTGACTTCATTATTATGGAATTAAAATTATTTCAAAAATGAAACGAAACAAATAAATATTTGTTTTGTTACTCTAGGATATTTGTCTGCACATTTTCTGATTCAAGTCATGCTCAAAATAACAATAATCCGTTTTCACCTCCAAAAAAAGAGCACACAATAATACTTAAATAAGCCCTAGAAATTTATCACGATCAAGACAACGACAATGTCCTGTGATTTTTAGAGTTACTTCCCTTTATTTTTTTGTCGTAGGCGTCATGGAGTATCAAGGGAGAGGATCTTTCATACATTCTAAGTAAATCCTAAGTAATCAACAGTTGATTTGTCGATATTTACTACAAATAACAGCGTTCGGCATAACACGTGTAGATAGCACACGAGTGATATCATGACGCCAAGCCCCGAGAGCAATAATGAAAACCTATAGACGTGCGACTTTTATTACGCACTATTTTGTTAACTGATGACTGAATCCGAAGTGGAATTTCGAACGAATTTGTGAACAGGGGAAAATTAAGTAACAGTTCCAAAGTTAGTTGCTGAGGTTCAGAATGACTGTACAGCACCAGTATCGTGTCTCTTATGTTTTCTGGTAGTATTAGTCTACATTGTCTACAATACAAATAACTATTCTTAAATTGTAGATGAACCATTTGTGCCAAGTGCATGGTTAATTAAGATGAACTTTGAGTAAAAACAAATATTAGCAAAACTGTGTGCGATGAAACGAAAAAGCTGTTTTTGTCAAATTTGTTGATCAAACCTTTACCATTGGATCGATATTACAAAACTCACCCGGGACAAGTTTGGTTTTATTGCTAACAAATTTGAAAAAAATGACCATTAATAATTAAAACTTCATGCAAATAGTAAATGATATAAGATCTTACAAAAAATCTGAATATTTAAAGTCGGGTGTCCATATGCCTTGAAAAAATACCACTTTGTCTCACATTTCCATAATTAATTCACAATTAGCTTAATTAGAAGAGCAGCAGAATTCTAATGAGTGACCGATCAAGAAAGGTCAAAAAGCCTTTTTTTTGTTTATCCAGACTGTACATACGTGGATATTGGTTAAAACTCTTATATTAATAATATGCAATAAGAACATAATGATATGATTAAGAATACATGATATTTCATTAGAAACACCAATTAATCAAATAGCTTGCTTAATTTGACACTAAAAAAATAAGGAAACCTATCTTGAATTCTTAAATTGAATTAAGTCAAAACCAATATGATGATTGCACACTTTACAATCTATAAAGTCAAAGAGCATTGTAATGGAAACGCCCAAAAACATAGGATTCTGGATGGTATTTGAAATAGATTTCTCATTTGAATTTCTCTAAATTAGGACTTACCGAGGTTTTCTAAAATCTGGAATGTATTCAAGTCGTCCTCTTAATTTAATTGGCTTGTTGTCAAGATCCCAAACGATGCAAGTAAAAAAATACGTAGCAGGCGAAGCTGTGAATAAAACTGTTATCTGAAAATATATATTATTATCATTTTCCACAGCATTTCACAATGTTGATTGAAAGAAATAAGAACTAATACGGGTTAGGTAAAAGAAATATTTATACAGATGCTAGGTTAGATAAAAGAAATATTTATACAAATGCTAGGTTAGATAAAAAAAAAATAATACTTATACAGATGCTAGGTTAGATAAAAAAAAAAATACTTATAAAGATGCTAGGTTATATAAAAGAAATATTTATACAGATGCTAGGTTAGATAAAAAACAAAATTCTTATACAGATGCTAGGTTATATAAAAAATACTTATACAGATGCTAGGTTAGATAAAAGAAATATTTATACCCTTGCTAGGTTAGATAAAAAAAAAATATACTTACACAGATGCTAGGTTATATAAAAAAAAAGAAGTACTAATACTGATGTCAGATTTAATGAAAGAGGTACTTATACAGATGTTAGATCTTATAAAAAAGATACTTATGCAGATGCCAGATTTAATAATAAAAAAAGTATTTAATACAGATGGTAGATTTAAAGAAAGAAGTATGAACACAGATGCTACATTTAATAAAAGAAGTACTAATGCAGATGCTAGATGTAAAGGAGTAATACAAACCTGTATCTCGGCCGTAGTACTTCTATTATCGTAATATGCAGAGTATACATATGATGCGAACGTATCACCAACAGGCGAAAAACCCGCACTTGGATGAATTGGTTTCAGAAGATTTGTTGTTTTTAGAATGTGATAATCCGCAATGAATAAACCTTCTTTTATAAGCATTTTCACCATAGGGTATGCTATCACCAAGAATATTACGACAGCACATTTTGTTTTAACTCTATTTAACCAATTCCATATTTTTCTTAAAATATAAATGTAAGAATTATAGAAGTAGCAGTCAAAATCTGAGAGGGAAAGGTGTGGAGCTGAAAAACTATCCATAAAGAACTTTCCATATATTTCAACACTTGAATATACATTTATCCAAACATTTAACTGAGTATCTTCTAAGGGAAAAAGCCGGCTTTGGTTTAAGTTAGTTCTAAGCTAGATTTCGTGTGTTTCCACTACTGGGTAAATTGTCGAACCGTCACGGTTCGTGTAGGATATTTTGGATACTTATGCCAGTAGCACCTAATGCGATGGTTCATTGTTAGAAGACTGTATAAATGGATATATTATGGATTTATTAAGGATTTCTTTGAATCGAATTACGTCATACATAAACAACGGAATGAATCTATCTCGATAACTAGAGAGTTCGTAAAAGGGTAATAATTATAGTCTTGGTTAATAAGTCTCTCTCACACTGCCCCTGATAGCCATTCGAATGTCCTACATGAAAATGGATATCACAATAAAACAATTATACAATGATATAAAATGAACTAGATTTACTATGTTCAGCTGGTAGAGGATTGATAAATCAATGACTGTCAAATTGTCCATCACAATTGGCTAATATGTTTATCCATTCCTTTCGCTTAGCATCAGATTGGATTGCTACCAAACGACGTGGACGTTGACCTGGCATAGGTTCCACTGGATCTGGCACAATTGCTTGTGGTTCAGTTGGCAGTGGCTTTTCAAGATCTTTTACCGCATTTGATATTTGATATTTGGATAAGACGATGAAGAGTAAATGACTTTCCATGACCGTTAACTCTTACGACTGCACCTTTCAACAATCCATCGGTTCCAGCAATGAGTTTCTCGACTTTACCTAGCTTCAACAAAGTAAGTGGTTGATGTTTATCAGCAATTGAGACGGTGTTTGAAGATCGCCTTGAGCATGTTCTGTGACCATTACGGAATTCCAAGAGATATTTTCATTTCCACCGAGACCAAAAATGACGCAACACCATGTTCATATGAAAATGTCTCTTTCTCAAATTGCTAGGGAGCTCTGGGTTATAATCTTCACTGAAATCTGAAAGTTCACTATCTAGAGGGCCTAACAAACGACGTCCATATAACAATTGAGATGGAGTTAAAGGTTCCTCGCAGTCTTCAGATGACACATATGAAAGGGGTCTACAATTTAGAATTGTCTCTATTTCAACTACTATATAGGATAACTAGGCATTTCCAATGGTTTTCTTTAAACAACTATTTGTTGATTTAATGAGTCTTTCAAAGATGCCACCCCACCAGGGTGCCTTTTCCAAATTGAATGAAAAGTTTCTATACGATGATTTACACAATAATGTCTTACAGGAGAGTAATCTGAGAATAATTCAAGGTATTCAGTATGGCGGGGGAAAGCGGCAAAAACCTACTGCTATGTAGAAATGTCTAATTCAAAACACAAATATAGCATAATGCAATACCAAATACCTTGATCTTTTGCTGACGCGTCATAGACTATACGAAGTTTTGTTGTGTCCTTATCAGCCCGAATGACACCATGATAAGGTAGATAATGGACCTTTCCCGCTTCCCCTAGATCATTTTCATCTACTCATTCTAAGATACCGCTTTTCAGCTGATTTCTATGACTTGGTTGTACTGACGTAATACTTCTGGTTCTCCTTGCAACCTTTTCATTAGACTATTAAAACGTTTCAGGCTGGTGCTGTAGTTGTCAGGAAGAAAAGGGTGAGGAATTTTCCGGGGCAGCTTGACTTCATTATCTTCCTTATTTTAAAACAGATGGAATCACTGAGATCTTCATAGATTGACCGTGGCTTAATACCCAATGATTCTAAGTCCCAAAACTTATGGAGGCAATTTTCAAGTTCAGAATTTTGGATTACAGGATTAACCTCCTCACTCAATTTGGTTTTAAACTTCAACACATGGGTTGTGATTATGTTTGTATTTTGATGTGGATCTATATCTGCCGTGTGTAAAGGGCCTGAGAGTACCCAACCTAACTTGGTACATATTGCTGAAAGTCCATTCTCCCCCCGTATTATACCCCCAGTTATCAGACTCCAATACTGATCTGCACCGATAAGCATATCTCTACACCAGATTCCATATTTGAACTATCTGCAAACTCAAATTCTGAGAGGTGGGGAAAATATCTCTTAGCTTGAGTTATGTTTTGAGATGTCAAGGGGTCACAGATCAAAGGGAGTGGCACTTGTTACCACAAGAGGAGTGTATATTAACATAAACGACATCTACAGTTTTGGTTGACTCTTCTGTAGATCCAAATGTTTTCATTAAAATATCTTTCTGGTCAACTGTGGGCAGTTGGAGGAATTCTCGAACTCTAGTTGAGAGATAAGTTCTTTGGATCCCACAATCAAAAATTGGTCTAATTTTAACCTCCTTATAACTCTATAAATAACACAAAATATATGGATATACTACTTCTGAGTTTATTACATACTACGTTTTGAAACACATACCGGTAACGTTGTCAAGTAAATAATGCCGGTAGCCTATGTGTTTCGAAATATAGTATGTAATAAACTCAGAAGTAGTATATCATATATCTTGTGTTATTTTCTTTTTCTTTTTTTTTTTGCCTTCCTACTTCTATATGTCTTACAAAGAATATCTTATAACTCTGATTTGGAAAAAATACAACACTTTCAGCGATCTGCAGTAAAACAGGTGTTATTGATTCCACATATACAGCACAGTTGCACCATTTTTTGTTGGATCTTGAGATTGTTTATTTTGAGCCGATTGATAATTTTGGTTGTCTCCCCTTAATTGATTATTGTTCTGAGGTTCTTGGTTAAATCCATTATGCCAGGGCTTGTTGAATATGTTGATTGGAATAAGGATTACTTTGGTATTTAAAATTGGCACCATTATACTGTTGATTACCATTCCATGACTGGCTGTTTCCTTGTTGAGATTGAGAACCATATTATGATTGAATCTGGGGTCAGAGGCGTATGTGATAGTTAATTATGCAAAAAATAAACAGCTGCCATTATTTGTTTACTAACAACATGGCGGCTTTTGCCCTTAACCGAAAGTTGGGCCACATTACATTTTCGTCGTCATTCAATTGATAGCGGAACCGCCGTGCTTGCTCGCTAATCTGAAGGTCCAGGGATAAGTCTAGATAATACCTTCGGATTTTTCAACCCGGCTTCTCCCTGTGATGCAGGTGATAGGGGCTGATATGAAAAAAAGCGTTGTGTCGTTTTGATGGGACTATAAACCGAGGCCCCGTGTGCTACAGGCTATCCACATGGAAGATCCCTCGGCAGTTGAAAATCGAAAAAGAGCAGGCTAATGCCACTGGCAAATTTCCAAAAGGTAGCCCTGACTCAAATTTCCCGCATTTCACCTGCATGGCGTTGCCCGTCTTTGTTAGTCCACATGATGCAGAAAACTCCATTCATTTCATTCACTTGATAGCGTCCGATTAGTCAAATAGGATGTCTATATGAGACAATATTTGAAATTTCCTGTTAGTAACACAAATCTTTCAGAATAAAGACAATAAAAAACGCTACATACCGCCTCATTTTGTAACATTTTTTACTCTTTCAGAAAGCCTGCTACCACAAGCCTATATTGTGCGCCTTTGTCAACTAGTCACGCACTTAAAACTGTCAACTAGTATTTTCATGACTACGTGAACTCTGCACAGCTATAGTCATCGCCAGTATACTATAGGGTCTATTCAGTTCTACACACAAACGGACAGTTTTATGGGTCAATAACTTGACTGTTATCATATATATATTATACATGATTTCACCTGCTATAATGTTTAATTTAAGTAGATTCAAATGAAAATATTAATAATATATTTATGTACAAAATGGAGTTTTATGTAATTCGAGTCAGAGAGGGGTTCTACATACTTAGCCTGTCTAAGTCTTTGTTCATCAGTTGGAATGTCCCATTCGTCTATTTTAGCCAACCGTAATTGCTCTGCATGAGCTTTGGTCGTTTTTTTGCCTGTGAGTTGACTCTTAATTCTATACGATACTGAAGATGTTTTTTCGACAATTCTATAATAAGGTGTCCATCGGTCTTCAAGTTTATTCTTCCTTAAGAAATTCTTATAATAGACCGGGTCACCAACTTTAAATTCGATGTTCTTAGTATTTTTATTTGCATATTTAGCCTGTCTTTTCTTAGCCTTTTTGACATTTTTATAAACTTGTAGGAATGAACGATGTTGATTTTCCAGTGCGATCTGATGGAAATCACCTTCACCTAAAAACTTACGTCTAGGTTTGAGAATATTGTCTAACGGTAACACTGGATCTCTACAATAAAGTAATGTAAATGGAGATTGTTTTGTGCTAGCGCTTATATTGAATCTCAAAGCTGCAAGACTCTGATTAAGGTGGATGTCCCAAGTGGAAATGTCAGATTTCAACCGTTTAGACAAGATATCGTGTAACGTTTGATGACTTCGTTCAACTACACTATTACTTTGAGGCCTATAATAAGAAGTACAAATATGTTTTATATTTAAAGTTTGCATCGTTTCTTTCATGACTTTATTTACATTTTCTGTTCCATTGTCTGTCACTATAGCCAATGGACAACCGAACCTTGGAAACATTTCGTCAATCAGTAAATGTGCGACGTTTTGTGCCGATTTATCAGGAATTGGAAATGCTTCAATCCAACCAGAGTACATACATACAAAACTGGCGATGTACTTATTTCCTGATAAACTTGTTGGGTAAGGTCCCGATAGATCCAATGAGATCTTAGCCATTGGATATGGTGGTATACCTGTTTCAACTAAGTCTGGTTTATTTTTAGTTGTTGACCTTGCTTGAGAAGTGACACAGTTTTCTACATACTTATATAGTTGTTTATATAAACCCTTCCAATAGTATTTAGTACGAATTAGAGCATAACATCTGTCAACACCACTATGTCCATTCTCATCATGATACTGATTAATGACTTTACTCGTCAAATGCTTGGGGACATAGAGTCTTAAATTAAGATCACCATCTGGGTCAGATATATAGTATAATATGTCATCAACAACTATATATTTATTATTGACCGCAGGTTTAGGTTTCCTTTTTCTAATTCAGTCTTAATATTTTGTAATTCATCATCTTTTATTTGTTCACTGACTAAGTCTAATTTTAGTGGGTCATCTTCGGGGTCACTTAAACTTTCATTATCATTCATATCACAGTCTGCGAAATTACCTGTGTTAACCTTATTAGAATTTATCACATTTATTTCGAATGCATTGTCGTTTAATCGAGGTTCTATCTCCTCGTCGTCATCTGTTAAATTGTCAAAAGTTGCTACTGGCACTCGTGATAGTAGATCTGCTATCGAGTTGCTTTTGCCAGGAATGTATTCAATTTTACAATTATAACCTTGTATACCAAGGGCCCAAAGCTGAATTTGTTTATTTTGAAACGGCGATTCTAACAAGTACTTTAATGGTTGATGATCAGTTCTAATAATAAATTCTGCATTATGCAAATAATAGTCAAGTTTTTGCAAGCTATAATGTATAGCGTAACATTCTTTTAACACAGTACTATATTTTACCTGTGTTGAACTCAATTTATGACTCAAAAAGTAAATTGGAGTTTCGACTCCATCTATAATTTGTGCTAAACATGCACCTATGCAAGTGTCACTTGCATCAGTGTATAAAACGTACGGAAGATTAGAGTTCGGATAACCTATAAACGGTATAGTAGTCAGACTATTTTTTAAGAAGTCAAACGCAAGTTGACATTCCGTTGTCCAATTAAATCTAGCAAATTTCTTAGTTAAATGTATTAATGGTTCTGCAATCTTACTGAAATTTGGTATAAGTCTTCTATAATAACTCATCCCTCCAATAAAAGAACGGGTCTCGGTAACTGTGGTGGGAGGAGTCATAGCTTTTAACGCTCTCACTTTATCTGGGTCAGCCGAAATACCACTCTTAGTAATAGTAAAACCTAAATATTTCGTCTCTTCTTGCATGAATGAACATTTACTTGCCTTAAGCTTTAGGTTATGTTGTCTTAATCTATCAAAAACTAACTTTATATGTTTAAAGTGATCTTCTGGTGTTTTTGAAAATATTAAAATATCGTCAAGATAAGCGACCGCAAAATCACTGAGGCCTTCTAATACTCGTCCAACTAATTGCATGAATACTCCGGGTGCATTAACTAAACTAAAAGGCATGACATTAAAATGAAATAAACCTCTATGACATGTAAATGCAGTTTTTTCTTTGTCATCTGCATGCATCTGCACTTGCCAGTAACCTGCTCGTAAATCAATGAGGCTGTACACTGAAGATGCATTTAATTGTGCTAATAGATCATCGATTAATGGGAGAGGGTAGGAGTTGATTTTAGTGATTTTATTCAATGCTCTGTAATCAACACAAAAGCGCCTCCCTCCATCTTTCTTGTCTACGACTACAATAGGAAATGCATACGGGGATGACGAATGTGCGATTATCCCTGCACCTAGCATATCATCAATCTCTTTGTCAACGATTTTTGTTTTATTTAACGGTGTCCTATATGGCCTTAATTTTATGGGTGGATGGTCACCAACATCAATCTTCATTTTGACAGTATCTGTCTGTCCAAGTTCGGTATCGCTCGAGGCGAATATATCTCTATATTTAGTAAATATATTCATTAGGCGTGACCGATGGTTGTTTGGCATTTTTATATCTTTAAAACATTTAAATCATTAGTTTGTTCATTACTAACCTGGTTTACATCTAAAGGTGGGACTAATTCACTTACGTCGTTATGATTGACAGGGTCTATTTGACCTATTAAGCAACCTCTCTTTAAGGTCATAGTTTTGTTAGTATTATTTACTATCGTAATGGGCATACGTCCATTGTTTCGTTCAACATTTACTGTTGCAACTAGTGCATTTGCACTATTATTCCTGGTTGTTTGCTCATGAAACCAGAATCGGTTCCTTGTATTTGTAGCATGGGCGAATTCGGGTTTAAACATTTTGCCCTTGCTACACTCATTCAACTACTTTGAGGATGTAAAACAACATTTTCAGTCAACCGTACAAGGGATGAAATATGAAGGTCGTGTTGTAGCGGAACATACGTTCCATAGATCCTTAGGCATTTGAGGTCGAAATATATCCTCACATTTTTCTCGGCTAGAAAGTCTCTTCCGAGTATCAAATTTCTATTCATAGAAGATACAATAAAGAGTTTATGCTTCATTTCTTTGTTTCCTATTTTAAATTCGAAATCGGCACTTCCATCAATAGTTAAAGATTGTCTGCTCACGGAACGTAGAATTACATTTTCTTTTTTGAGTTTGGGTTTATATTTTAAATTTTGGTAAACGCACCGGTGCATTAAAGACACTTCTGCACCGGAATCAATTAATGCCCTATAATATTGTTTTTCAAATTTTACTAAACATGTACTCGGATTACCTGCCAAGGTTACTTCTAAAATTTTCTTATTTTTAGAATTTCGTTTTGACTTACAATTTTTGTTGAAAATAGGTTTATTTGTTGAAGTTACTTTCTTTCTCTCCTCGTTAGTCGGTTTACGAGGAGAGGCTAATGGTTTCCCGAATTTAGTCGAACTTTGCAATCGACTTGTTTATGGCCTAATTTACCGCACCTCCAACATTTAATTGGAGGACGGGATGCCCTAAATGTGTCCGCACTGTTAACCTGTCTATTGTTAGGTTTTCGTCGGCAATCCTTCGCCTCATGTCCATGTCTATAGCAAATTCTGCATTTCCTGGGTCTGAAATGGTCAACCTCCATGGGTTCGTCTCGGCTAGAACTATCTTCGTTGCGCGGGAAATTGCTTCCCGTTCTTAATGCGAACCGTGTTCTCAAATTTTGCTCAATAGTAAGGTCACCGCTAATTGCAAAGTTTTGGGATTTTCCCGTAGAATTTTCAATTTTAAATAATTTTCTTTCAATCCGTCAACAAAGAACCCTACTAGTTGCCTTTCTATTTCTAACGACGATGTTCCTGAATATGCTTCCGATGCTAATACCAAAAGTCGCTCACCAAAAAATTGTACGTTTTCATTATGATTTTGTTTAACTTTTCGGAGTAACGCGAAAGCATGTTGTGCATCAGTTACTTCTGCAAAGCGTGCCGAGAGTTCATCCTTTAGCGTAGGCCAATCTGCTGCGGGATGGGTATCGAGATAGCGCCTAATAAAATTAGACACCACCCCTTTACTCGTTTGATAAGCGATCAATTTCATCCTATCGTTTGGAATGGATGCTAACACCGCATACTTTTCAATGGATCTCGTCCATTCCCTAAACGCTTTGGGCTCCCCCTCAAATGAGTCTATTATTGTTACCACCCCATTAGTCGATATCGAATTTGTAAGTCTATTTAATTGGTCAGATAAAGTGTGGAAGAATGTGGTTTCTTCTTCTGTTGACATGTTCTCGGATTATGCTCAATGGACAGTGAAACAAAATTAACTTAACGATAGGAGTGCGTTTCCTCTTCTGTTCTTTTTCCTAGTTCCTTGATCTTCTTGCCCGTTCAGAATCCTGGTCACTCGCACCAGAAAAGATAGGTATATGACGATATCCCCTTTTTGCGATCCAATGCTGGTGGTCCCCGTCCGTAAATAAGTTGAATAACAGTTTTCAAATATCTTTATATAAATATCAGACTTCACGTTGTGTTCTTAAAGTTGACATTCAATAGAATAGCATCAAGAGAATAATTTAAAGTGTATTTCTAGTCGAGAATAATTTCGAATGCCTACTAGTCTTAAAGGTAGCCAAAGATAAGACTTTATGAGTAATAACGTTTCCTGTTAAGTACTGAAGACAGAGAGTAGTCTTCTCATATTTATACTCTCGACTGTATACGTCATATCGACAGGAATGATAATCTGTTAATCTTTTAATGTTGGTACTTAAAAAAATCAGCCATTAAATTGTACCTTTTTGAATATGAATGACCATTATATAACGGCCACGAGTCATAATTCATGGGCTATTAATTTCTATACCAATTTCATGATCCAAAGCGCCGTAGGCAATAACACATTAACCTACTAACAAAAATCTGAATACGGGCGGATCTCAGTTTTGTTACAAATAATTGCATTATATATATTTTTAAAGACTATTGGGATATTACAGGAAAATATAAAAAGTTACTGCCCTGTTTATAATTTAAGAGCAGTGCTAAATATGACGAGGGAAAAAATCCAATTAACACTTTTTCTTTGGGGTTGACGTCACTTTTCTTTTATTCCTATGACCCTTTTGAGGTATAAAGGGTTGTTTTCTTGTACTAATCTCAAATTTCAAAAATAACGTCGTCAACTGTCTTTAAGACAAACATAAATCATACTATATCTCCTCGGACATAGTTCTTTTAAGACTTGGTACAGATCTACTATATTCAATCTGCAGTTAGTCTAAATGAGCCAAGCGACCTATCACTGGTGATGGAGGCATCCAGCATCCAGTTGTCTGCATTACAAAAGCCCCGTCCCGACTACACGATCAAACATTTTTTTCAAATCATCGTCATAGTACATAAATTTGTATGAACGTGTTTGTGGACAAATGTTTGATCGTCTGGACGGCTTTCCCAACAACGTTGAATATGGGCTAACGTGTTTGAAGCTGTTCAAATTTTTAGCTGCATGTTTCGTCTTCCCAACAAATGTAAGCAACATTTCAATTAGTTAGAATTATATTCAAATCCGTCTTTAACAAATCAGCAGTCGTATACACATCATATGACTGCATCACGTTTGCTTTTAAAAATAGCAACCGACACGGATCAAGTGTGAACAATGAATCTCGTAACTGTATCTTTGCAATTAAAGGTAGCCTACCACTACGGCCGTAACTCCAATCAAGACAAATAAGATAATGCATCGTGCAGAATTTGACGAAATATACAAATGAAATAAGTCCACCAAAATCCTTGTAATGAAAGCCAAATTACGGACCTGACCAGTTTACCCTGTGATCAAATTACTGTGACCAATCTACCTTGTGATTACTCCTCGTCGAAGTTCCACCACCAGCTTATTACAAGTCACTTTGCGCTGGGTGCCGAAGATGATTTGACCAATGAAATGTCTCGTCTCTAAAGTTAAAAGTTGCGGTGATACTATGTTTGATGTATTAATATTGGTGCCTATGGGGTTATAAGGGCATGATAAGATTATCGTTTGATCAATAATTGTAGATGAACCAGAAAAAAGGAAGAAAGCCATAATCGGCTCGTGAAAGGAAGAAAGCCATAATCGGCTCGTGAAGCAAGTATTTATACGGCTGTATAGCTTACATTTTTCTTGCTATTTCAATATCTTTCATAAGTCATGATTTCCAATTAGTTTTGTTTGATGTACTGTTTGTATATATATTAATTACTTTAATTTCATACATTTAACAATGGTTTAGAATAATATAACTTTATTTCTTAAGCTTCAAATAACATTTAGATCACAATTAACTTTGTTGTACAAAAGATAATTGGTTGTTTATTTCTAACAGATCTCATCATTGAATAGATAAGATCGTGGGCTAACCATCTTCAGAATATCAAGCTATTTCGATCTCCATCTTATACCTTGACACCACTAGAGTCTTTTCTTTTATAATATGCGTCTGTAAATGCAGCGATTTGATTGTATTCAACATTGAAAAGATGCAATCGTGAACTAACAATATATGTGCGTCTGTAAATGCGGCAATTGAAATCATTAGTATCTTTTCTTATATCACGCGTACTATTCAGTCAAATCGAAGCATGTACAATATCGAGTGATACAAGAATATATTCTCAAGATAATAAACAGAGTGCTAAACATTTTCACAATGTCAAGCCTTGACTAAAATATAGTCTGGTATCAAAATAGTTTGTAAATGAAGCGATTTTATTGGATTGTACGTTAGTTAATACAGCCAATCAGAGGCCTCGGCAGAAAGTATGTGAACGCAAGCCTTTTGCCGGGGGCTTTGATTGGCTGTATTCGCTGGCAAACAATCCAATCAAATAGGTGCATTCAGTGATTCAAAAATAATAGTGGCTATTATAGTCAGACATAAGTACGAAGTTCGTAATAGCTTGACAATATAAAGATGACTGTGTTATAGCTTGACATTGTGAAGATGACAAAATAAACGAATAAATGTTTGTTATTTTAAGCTGTTATATTCAATGTATTAAAGTGGGAGTGTATGTTAGCTTCATTAAAAAAGGAAATATGAATTTCAATAGCAAATAATAATTATATTGATTTACTAAAATTTTGAACTTCATTACTGTTCGAAAATCCTGTCTATTTCTGAGATTTAATTTATCATAACATTCAGTTTTAATATCCTTTTAGACTAAAATAAAATTATTTCAAAATATACTCAGTGAATTGGTGTATATATACGCCTACAAACTTCGTATGATGTGTCGTTTTTTTTAATACTGCAATAGCGTTTCTAATACTGCGTTCAGACGACAAAAGTTAGGCCAGCTTAACTATCAACTGTTCTTCGAGCCTGGTTTTTTTCAGTCGTCTGAACGCAACCGGTTAAACTTAAGCTGCCTTAACTTGCACCTACTTCGAGGGTAGCTTAAAACCTGGCCTGGGAAGTTAAACCAGCTTAGTTTTGCCGTCTCAACGCTTCTGGCTAACATTCAGTCAGATTGTCATGTCTGCAGGTACGTGTCGTCTAAACAAATTCCTGCCATTATTATCTATGTCATAATGCGCATGCGTAATGGTATTATGACCTCTGATATTCCGAGGTTAATGGCAAGGCTGGCCTAACTTTTAAGTCCGTCTGAACGCGCATCAAAAAACAGTAAACCCGGCTCGAAAAACGGTTTATAGTTAAGCTGCCTTTACTTTTGTCGTAACATGTTAATTGAAAAGCTCATAAATGGTGCTTGGTGCCCACAGTTTAAATTTTTGTGGTCAGAATGTTTGGACTCGAGACATTTTCAGATCTGGAATATTTTATTAACGCTATAAGAAACTTTTTTGCCCTTCCTGACGTCATAAATTGGACTCGTTTTGTCTCAAACGGACTACCCATAAATGGTTTTTACACGGAAATACCACACACGAACGTAGTTTACAACCATTTCAGACCACATTTAAAGGTTTAGAAATGGCTTTAAATGTGATTTGAGGCCTTTGGAGAAACATGTATCCTTTCTAAAAATTCGAAGAAGTGGTTGTGAACTACGTTCGTGTGTGCTATTTCTATGTAAGAACCATACGCAGTTTCGTTAGACAGTCTACCGTGAAAGTTCCACTAGTGCTTTGATTCAACTTCACGGAAACAGCAGAGGATGACAGAGTGGTTTTTATCTGAAATTACAGAAACCTTAAACGAGAACCAGGAAATTGAAAAATAGCCTACAGGTTCAGACACTGCAACAATTCTCCAATATACCATTACGGTATTTCATATCTATCTCATGATTTGATTTCATGTTCATTATTAGTGAAGGTATATGTATGTCTACCTTTGAAATCTAATCTTAAAGCTCATAGAAGTTATTACCATTTACCTGTATCACTTTTAAGAATGAAATCTGACATCAGGTTGTCAAAATAGTGCGTGATCAAAATAAAGACTAGTAATATCGGTCTTAATACGGAAAGGGTAAAATGTCTATAAAGTTCACTTACAGTGATTTTATCCCAGTTTCAATGTGATTATAGAAGAACTGAGCGTCGCATTTAGTTTTGAAAAGTATTACGGGTAGCATCTGCAGTTTAGTGATTAATTCAATATTTTGACAACTATATCCCTTTGTACGTTAATCGTGACATCGTGTGACGTTTTCATCAATGGTAATTTTAGCATATAATTGGTCGATGATCATCGATCTTCAATTTATGCTGAATTCGTTTTCAAATATTAAAGAATTGTAAATTTTGAAAGTGTTTAGAGACGTCGAAGCTCGCGTAACATCGAATCTATTCCGATCGAAAATTTCAACTGCGACCAACTTATAAATGCAAAACTTGAAATCTCATTAACAACTTAAGCTAATTGGACTCGATTATTTTTTATAGAGTCAAAGCATTAATCTTTCAAGACAAGGTGTGCGAGGCTACATATTGAAATTGTGGTAAAATGAAGGAATCGTTTGATGTTGGTACCACAGCACCAAGACGCCCAATAGAATACTTATATATGCTTTATTTCATAACACATATACCCATAACAATTATTCTGGATACCCAACCGGTTTTACCACGATGGATATTTCCAAAACCAGTAAGTATCGGTGTTAGTAATTTGCTTGATATTTGTGTATGAGCATTTGAGTCATAATAGTTTAATAAACAACACATTTTTCAAGAGTTTGCATTGTCAACATTTTTCTTCACATGGTTCTTACATAAAAAAAAATAACACACACGAACATAATTCCAGCCATTTTGAATCACTACCTCGATTTAAATAGTCGAATCTAAAATAATTTTTTAAAAGTTTTGATATTTCATCCAAAGCCTTAAATTCACACTTAAAGTTTTAGAAATGGCTTTAAATGTGAATTGAAGGCTTTGTTGAAATAGTGTAGTCTATTTACTGACTTATTGACAATATACACCTAATAAGAAATCACATGACTCATTTTGTCTTCGTCAATTTACACATCAAACCTTTAACCAGTGTGGCTGAGAAACTCTCCAAAACGAGCGTTGCTTTATTTTCACCATATTTTAGGTGTCTATAAATAGTTATCTTATCGTACGATTAGGTCACTAGAATATTATAATGAATTTGGTAATAATTAACTACTGTTAGCAATTAATTAATCTATTCTATAGTTCCTTGGTCTAAATCACACAAAAACGTGTTGGTTTTAGTATGTCCTTGGCAAGATAGGTGAAAATGTCACAAATTGGTGGAATAAAATCAAATTTCACACATATTTCGTCATAATTTTTGTTTTTAAAAATTCATTCTTATATTTATTTTTTACTTATTGAAACTTCTGGACTGTCGTCTTTTAAGTGAGGGACGTGTTCACTCGTCAGAACACCTGAAACCATTCCATAATTGGGGTTTTAAACTTGATATTTCATTTTTCATTATCTTTATATCTCATATTTATTGATTTTAGCGATTGAGTGGGGTGAATGCGTGGGAGGCTGGTGACAAAACTATTTTCGTCAGCAATACCAGATAGTTTTGGAATTGGTATTTAACAGTATAATACCGACACGTTTAATTTGTATGTTTAACAATAATGAGAGGATTTCTGAATTTTATCTTCCTTATATATTTTGCGTTTCATATACCTTGTACTTTCTTTTATAACAGTCAGGGAATTTTACCTGAAAAGATATTTCCAAAATATGTAAGTAGTTAACAATGTATCTAATTGACAGTAGTACATCCAAACTATACGTATGGTTCTTACATAGAAATAAAACACATGAATGTAGTTCGAAACCATTTTGAATCTCTTCCTCGACTAAATAAATCGAATTTTTCAAACCGCTATAATATTTCAACAAAGGCTTCAAATGAGATATTGTTGCATTAATTTAAGTAAGTGGAGGAAGTGGTTCAAGATGGTTGTGAACTTAGTTCGTATGTGTTATTTCCATGTAAGAACCACAATGTAAAGTTTCTTATGGAGCTCATCTTAGACTTTCGACACGTGTTTCGGATTCAACATCTTCATCGAAATATCATAAAACTCCATTCAATTCAATTCAATTCGAAATATCAACTACAAAACCATACTTCTAACAGTCTTTGATTAATTTTAAAGTTGAAATGTCAAACATTTATAAGATCCACATTTTGAAACATAAATTTAGGCCTACAAAGGAGAACTTTCAGTCCAAAGTTTGGATCAGTTTCAATAGCAAATTTCTTGGTAGTAAATGCTTTTATTTCAAATGTCAAATCATCAAACCTTATATTTCTATGGACTCGAATACAGGTAGGCCTATTTTAAAAGAAAAATGACGTAGGCCTATATTTGAAAGTATAATTTGAATATTTGTCAAAAAAGAGAAAAATATTTATTCTGAGCTCATTGTGGTAGGGGAGTATTTTTTATTGGACATAATTATTGAATAAAAGGGATTTGGAGTCTTCAATCTAGCTATCATTCAGCAATAAACTTTCTCTGCTCCTTTTCACCTATCAACGTCACTATTCAGAGTTAAAAATTCTCTTGCAATCCAACGAAAGTTTAACTTGTCTGCTTGTGATATGAAAATCGTCAATGTATTGATAGGCCTTTCTTGATTTGAAATGGAGGTGGAAATAGCTTTTAAAAGCGAATACGACTTTTGTTGTCTGTGTTTGTTTTTTTTACAAGTAGTGTCCCTTGATTATCAAGTTTTCTGCAGTGGAGGTATTTTTGGTACGATATCACCTGATTAATGATACTATTTTTAGGACAAAATGGATCACGCGTTGTAAACAAACTTCGAAGTTTTCTTTTACAAGTTTATTTCTTTTTTTTAAAATGGCTCGAATATTAGATGTTGTCTTCTTTTTTTATTTTCTATCTCACATTCCCATTACCTTGTTATTTGACATGCAAGGTTTATTTCCAGAATGGATGTTTCCAAAGCCGGTCAGTGATTCTTTTTTGTTCATCGCCGTCGCTTTCTCATCTCCGCTTTCGTTCGGCATCGTATTAGCTTTAGGCTGTCATCGATTCAAGCGGCAAGCTAGATTTATGTTTTTCCGAGAAATCGCTGACCCTATGATTAGGCTCTGACAACAGATAAGATAATTTGCATGAATTGCCACTTTTTGGGAGAGGGCCTAAGAGAAATTTATCCATTTTCATGGGGGACGTACAGTACCTGAGTGGAAACTCTCAGTTTTTTATTTATTTACAGAAGAAATATTAAAAGAAACGAATGTTGAGATTTGCATCCTACTCTTCTACACTAATGAAGAACAGCAGTGCCAATCATGCAGTGTGAAATGAGGGAAATTTTGCCAGGATAGGGGCATATTTGCCTTCTCTTTTCATGAGGAAAGGATATTTAGCACATAGGTCTCATCCCAAAGACTACAAAATTTTTGCTTGTCATCCCCTCTAACCTGCACCACTGACACAGGGAAACTGGGTTGAAAAATCCCAAACGACATATGCTGGGATTGAACCCTGTATCTCTAGGGCAGCGAGCAAGTGTCTTAACTCATGTGTTAATAAAAATATCAATTTTTCTATTGTAGTGTGTAGATTTGTTAAAATGGTATACTAAAGTTACACCTGATCCATTAATGGGTGATCCTAAACCATGGTTTATAGCTTTCTGTTTCTGTGAAATAACTATACAGTTACCATGTTTCTTTATTGGGGTTTATGTATTCTATAAAGGTAAGTCTTTCATTTTGTCCTATGGAGTTGGATTAGTAAATCCCAGTTCTAGAATTTAGAAAGAGACAGGTTCTCCATCTGTTTGACCAATCATACCTCAGTCTCAGAATTTTAATAGTGTTCATAGCTCACTGTCCAAATTTGAGCCTTCATATCCTTGTGTGTCCAGAATTGTCCCCGTTTGAAAGTTTAAAAAGACGAGTGGTCTATTCTTGAGACTGTCATATAGAAAAGACATATATCGTGGGTAACTGCTGGAAAACTCGCTTAATAGTACAGTTTACGAGGTTTTTCTTTTTCATCCACAGAAAAAGGAACATTGAACCTTGTATAATGTAATATTTTACAAGGTTTTAAATCTGACTGTTTTTATACGTGTTATTTATTTAGTGGTTTTGGGGTTATTTACAATCAAGCTAAGAATAAGAGGTTTTGATCACAAGATCCGCACTTTTACGAGCTTTTGAACGGTACCAAAATGTCAAAATGACCAAATATGGCATATATGAGGTTTTAAGCGGTCACCCACGATATAGAAATAGGAAGTTAAATTAAAAAATGAGATATTTTTGAAGCAATTGTCCCTCTATTTAAGCCAGTGATATTTGGATATTTCAACTTTATTTCCCTTTATTAATGATAAACAAAGAGAGACTGGCATGAAAATGACTATAAACCACGGCTATTGAATATGCTATAGGATTTCCATGTTAAATTACTCTCAACATTTGGAAAATGTGCCCTGACAAAATTTTCCTTATTAAACACTGCATAGCTTTGCCAAACTTTGGAAGATGCAAAGTTGCAAAAAGTATTACCTACAACAACATGAAATTTCATTTTCATTTCACATGTCTTTTCAGGTGTCGAGAAAAACAAATGGTGCCGAATTCCTTTAATGTTATATGGTTGTCATACAGCCACTACCGTATGGTCTATTGCTTTTGAAATTTTGTTTGCTGATTTTAGTACTTACAATAATCCAGGACCAGAAACAATGTCTGACCGCTTAGTATTACTAGCTATTTATAGTCCTTATTTATTAATACCATTTTTATTAGTATTTGATACAGTATTTAGTAAAATTTACCAACCTAATAATAGTATAGCTAATAACAAGTCCAAAGTCCAGTGATGTGAAAATTGGATTTTTATTTCTTTTAACTGTCATTTGTTGTTCAATATTTGTTAGGGATACAGGTCTTTATTTCTTTAAGTGGCCATTTTGGGCCAAAAGAGTTCAAACAAAAATGCCTCCTTGTATCAGTCTATTAGCATGATGTCACAATGTAAAAAAAGATCCATCTGTTCCTTAAGCAGAGAAATTTACAAATTTTGGTACCTTCATGCATATATGTCTAAATTTGATTTCACCGATGACCAGAACTTGGTTTTATAATTTAATTCATCTTTTTATCTTAAATTTGCCAAACTTTTCGTCACCATTTTATTTCTTTAATACCTTTCAAATGATTACTTTAAATACATCTGCTTTTATGTTTGTTGTGCCATAAACAGGTCTACAGTCACTTACTAAATGATAATATTTTAATGTATTTAGCTTTAACTTAACATTACCTCTTCTATAATATTGATATTGTGATGTTACAGGTTGATTAAAAATGTGCCTTTTTGTTGTTACATTTAATAAGTTACTTTCAAATTAAACAACAACAAATACAGTTGGTGGCATGCAGTGTGCAGTGAGGGAAATTTTGCAACGACAGCAGCTTAAGACAATTATTAATTGTCACAGGTTAATTAACCATCCAAGCTGCTGGACACCTTTTCATATATTGATTCAAACACATTTGCAAGAAAACCTCTTGAATTCTTGATTTTGAGCTCCATAATAATGTTTAATGCAATGAGATTCTCCAGCCAGGTTGTGTATGCTCATGCCTATAGATCACCTGATGTCACTCAAGGATTGAGTTCATCAACTATTCATCTTGATATTGAGACCACATAGAGAAATATCCGAAGGTCTTATAATTTAATCTTTATGAATATACATTCTTAGGAATAAATAAAATATAATTCATATTAAAATCATAATCAACAAAAATATTACTTAAAGTGATTGTAAAGAGGTTTTCGAAAAAATTTTGGTGTATCTGCGAAAAATGATAGCATCAATTGTACCATTCCAATTTTCCATCAGACGTCTGAAGTTCCCACAATTCCCAAAAAAAACTTGTATCACATACGGCCCTTTGTGCTTAAAGGCGTCATCAAACACTTAGTTTTAGTGGAATTGCAAGAACCACAGACGTCTCATTGAAAATTGGAATAGTGTAAATTGATGATATCCACGTCCCCAATACACATAAAAAACCTCTTTACAATCCTTTAAACAAATTTTACAAGACCTATTCTTTCAGCTTATTCCATGGTAAAGTCAACTTATTTCCCATGATTACTTTTTAATTCATTTTGAATTTCTAAGTGAAACATTTAATGGAGAATAACCCATTAAGATTTTCAAAGAACAGTCAAATTGGCAGAAAATTTTACCTAACAGCAATATTATTACCCTTAGCCATTTTCTTCAACAAAAGCAACAAAATGGATGACAGTTGAAGTTATTTTACAAAATTGTCTTTATACAGCTTATGAAATTATAAACTAGTGCTAAGATTTTTGACCACCAGTTTGTGAAAGGTGTTTCACTATATCAACCCAGTCCCAACCTCTAGGCCGATCTTTCTCCGATCCAAATTTATCCATGATTCTTCTTTTCTGAGCCTTGGTTAACTGTTCTTTTTTCTCTTTTTTCTTTCCTACATCTTGTGAATAAATAGTATCTGTTTTCTCAATCTGTATGGAAAGACAATGGATCATGAACAAACAAAAGAAACATTTAAGATGGGTCGCTTATTTTCATTTATTTATATAAATTCGATTATTGGACGGCTAATACTTCGGAAGTAGAGGTGTTCTATCTGAGATATCTCTAACCTAGTTATGAGATTTTTGCCCAAAAAACTTGCTTTTGGGGCTACGAGGAGGGACGGCTGCCCCATATGCTCCCCCCCTTTGACGATGCCCCCCCTTTGACCCCGCCCTCCCTTTGGCTACGCCACTGATGGGGATAACCTAATCTAGACGTTGACAAAAAGGCACTAAAACTAAAACCTACCTGTGTAACTTGAGGAGTGTCTGGTTGATCTGATATTAATGTGTCTAGATTATCTTTTATAGAATCAAATAAACTATATGTCATACATGACCCTAACAAATCTTCTACTTGTTGTTGAACATGCTCTATTATTTTTTCTTTTACACTTTCAAGTCTACAAAAAATAAACTGAAAATAACTCATATTTTCAAAATAACAAAGAAGTACAAAAAAAATTCATATTAAAAGACCATCATCTAGAAAATGTAAATAATAATTCAGAATTTTTTTAAATCAAAAAAGCAAATTTAAAATACCAGTCGATTTCCACACCTGCAAGATGATTTCAAACTATTTACATTTGAATAAATTTGGAAAGACTAATCCAATACTAAGCATCACCACACATCATAATAATATTCCATTAAAGTCTTTATGATTAATAAGAAGCAACAAATAAGATATCTATTAGAGATTCAGTATTAGGGGCTGAAGCTAACACTGGACCAACTCTTAAAACTGGCCATAGCATCATAATTTGTCTTTCACCTTGAGGAGGCTTCGAACCGGGGTACCTTATCACCTAGCAGACGACAATCCGACTGAGCTATTTCATTGTCACAAAAAGACAGTGTTCCACTACATCGTTAGAGTTAAGTTTTGACGTTCACACAGTTCTAATAAGTTTAAAGAACTTACATGTGTTTATTATAAAATAAGTCTAGATTGATCTCAGGTGAGGATTCAGGATAATTTTCTCCCCATTTTATTTCTACTATAACTGATTTATTATCACCATCTTCACCATACTAAAAAACAAGACAGTATATATTATAATATATTACATTACCTCCCTTTAACCAGTTGTTTACCCTAATGATTAATGAACCCTGCTATTCTGGAAATCAATTTGTGACATTTGACAGATATGGTAGGCTAAATTGTTGCTCAACTGGAATCTCTATTTCACCTATCTGTATCACTTTTTAGATTTAAAATTTCATGTGTAGTTCTCTTGCAATGCAATGAAAATACAAAATAGACCATGGTATGCCCTTAAAAACATTCTCACACATCATGATTATCAGTGTATCATCCACGTCAGAATATCAATAAACACGCTGTAGTTGCTATTTGTCTAGCCTGTGTTGAATTGCAGTTTGCAGGAGAACCTGACATTAGATTTCAATTCTGACAAGTGATACAGATAGCATTAATTGAGCTTCATCAGTTAGTGAATCAACTCTTTTAACAACTATATAATTGGAGGATGAATCACGTTGATCACTTGCCAATCTAACTTCTGGTACACCCTTGAAAGCATTAATCAATCTCCCAAAGGTTTGATAATACTTACTTTATATTGATAGGTAGTTGAATCTATCTTCTTAAAATTCTCATCACCATCATAAATAGATTCTAATACTTCAATTTCTTCCTGTAAAATACATTTATTACCATATTTAGATATTCAGTATTTCTGTTCAGTTGAATCTCATTTTTAAAATATCTAACTGCATTCATTGAAATTTTGTTTAAAATCTCTATCACAAAAAGCATGTGGTGATCTAAGTATTAGCTTTAGCAGTTGATAGAGCTTAATTCAGCCATCAATATGACTTTAAAAAATCAAATCAGTCAGTCTACTAAATATGTATTGGTGTAAGGGTGTATCACAGAGCAATAGATAAGTCTATTGATTATGTGAAAATTAGTTAGTCATTAGTATGATTTTAGTTGAAAAGATACACTGCATGTTATATAATATACTGTATATAGCCATGGCACCAGCCCTGAAATAAGTATTCCCTGAAATCTAACTTAGAAATAGATTAATTTATTGATAGAACATGATACATTTATATTAAGAAATCTATGCTCCTAGGATGAATGGACATTGTTCAATGGTTCAAGTCTACCGTGAAAGAGGAAATTGCTAAGATTTTGATTTCTTTTGTAAGCTACAACCAAACGTTTTGTGTATACATGGGGAAATTTGTTCTGAAGTTCCGAGTAATGGCGTTTGACTATTATGGAGGCTTTGGTAGCTGTAGAATCAAATGTCGTTATAAAGGGTATTATCTGGTTATCATGTTGAATGTTGAGATGGAAGGGACAACAGTCTAAGATACTATACATCTGAATGAGAGAATGCCAACTTTGCAACTTGCCAGTGATAAGTCATCGGTATCTTTGAATTGTTTTGGAATCAGATATCTGATTTTCATTCTGAAAAGTACTAGAGACTACTGAGCTCTATCTGTATTTCTAGTATTTGAACACTGAGTGTAAATGAAATAAAATACCCTAAATTCCAGGCTTATGTTGTAATGTTATCTGTAATGTGTTGTGTTGGTAACGGGTATCAAATCATATAATTATGTGCCTAGTAGACCAGTCGCTGGGGTTGGAAGGGTTTAATATCAAGCTTTAACAATGTAATGTAGGCTATGTTGAAATCAAATCCAGCAAAGTTACTGATTAATCACATTCAGTGTTGATTCAAACAATACACAAGCAGTCTTAGTTTATTTTTAGGTAGTTTACTTTGAAATGAAGCCAATATATGTACAGTTTATAAAGTTTCCAATAATATTTATCCTCCACAAAAATGGAGTGATCATTCCTATCTGCTTGACTATGGTATAGTTCAGAAAAAGATTACCTGTTGAAGCTCAGTACAACTCATTTTACTAATCTATATGTATATCTAGACTGACATCATTTTCTTCTGATCACTAATTTACCTCATCTCTCCATTATTCCTGTAGTCAAATTTCAAAATATTATTTTAAGTGTTATAAATGATTGGGATAAATTATGAGTCGCCTTCCACATTTCCCGATTTAAAAAAATTGCCTTAAACTTGTTTCTTTTTGTACGGTATCAAAATACAGGTTATAATAATATAACCCAATTCATTAATTTAGCTAATTAATGTGTGAGAGCCAAAACAGGATACAAATTTGATCTGGCCATACAATATCTCCACAGGGTTTCTCAATGTGATGATACATTTAGATGGGCAAAGATGACAAAATTATGTTGTCTGTGTTCATCAGCTCAATCCAGATAATCAGAGAAAACCAGAAAGCTGAAGCCCCAGACACCAATGACGTAATGGAAAAGGCTTGGCCAGCACAGTTGAGTTGTTGTTTGTTGTTGCAGACCTGAACATCCAACAGCGAACAGGCAAAGAAGACATTCTCCCTCTCAGTAAAGAATGAATGGCCTACTCAATTTAGGCTTAAACAAATAGAATTCATAATAGTCTACTCGAACTAGTTTTAAACCTATTTTTGTCCAACTACATAAAATACAAATATTTTATCTGACATAATACATGAAAAGCGAAGAAAAAAGGTGGAACTGGAATCTCACATGTGTTTACATTTTTTCTCGGATAACCAGAGTTCTATAATTTACCGTTAATAAATTTTGTGCCTTGACAACAACGACTATAAAACTGACCAAAAGTAACTCTTCATAAAAGATTTATCTAAGGGAGATTAATGCGTATGACTGTTCACAAAGTCAGACAACAAAATTAACATCAAACAAGTTTTGATACAAAGCTACTGACAAAACAAGTTATCCAATACACTAACAAGATTTTGTCCATGAACTTGTGGTTTCAAAGGTGCCTTAATCGAGTATGCTGTCACTTCCGAGCAACTTATCCCGGTTTTGTTCCAGAAGGTGGACTGCAGTCATCGTATCACGAATACGGGTTTTGACATGGTTTTATTAACGGAAGTTTGAACTCGATGGTCTGCAATCTGCTGTTATCTTGTAAAACACAATCTAAATTGCATTATGTTTCTGAAATTATTACGTTGAATTTTGAAATTGTCTCCCTTCAATCTGGTCTAAATTTATTTCATATTACCTACCTCCCCATAACTTTCAGGAAGTCGTCTCATTTTTGTCTTGCCACCCTGTCTCGTTTTTATTGTGAAATTCTTCTAAAACATTTGCTCCAGTCCTTTTATCTTGTTTTGGCAAAACTAAACCGCAAGATGTTTTATAGGGGAATAGTCCGCATTTTTCGGGGATTGATTTGAGTCTTTATTGTGCGTTAATAGTCTTAAGAAGTACTAAAACGCACGAAAATCGCATAATCCCTTCAAATATACCTCAAACCAAAAATTTCACTGTCTATTCCTATATATGTGTTTTCTATATATGGCATAGCCTAGTCTCACTAAAATTTGAGTCGAATTTTTTACTTTAAAACGTGAATAATTATGGATACACATGGATTTGAAGGCTTATATTTCGACGATGAAAGCTGTGAACACTATTACTGATTATGTAAAAAATCCTGTTTCTGAAACTAAGGTATGATCGAACGGATAGTGAAGGCGCTCCTTTTAGTTAAAACTTTCAGATAAGTTAGGATGCACACTATTCGAGATTTTGGTGTATAGTTTTCATAACTTTGAGCAAAAAAAATAAATTCCGACTGATGAAAATCAGGCTTAAAGTTAAAGTTAGTCTTCAACTCAATCATTCCAACTGCAATTTTCTTTTTGGCCAGACATAAATATTGTTATGAAATTTGTCTTATGCATTTGTTATGGTTTCGTCAGAAAGTTGATTTTCTTTTAAGTATGCAATTGATCATTTAAAAACTTCATCCAGAGTCCGTTTCCATAATAGACTTCCTTCATTTATTTCATCTTGAAGGGTACTCCACTGGAGTTGCTTGCCTACTACATTTATTATGTTCCCGACTTTGACTATATTTACAGGGTGTGGAACCACGAAACACATTTATGTTCTGAGTAACATGATTTTACCATCCAAATATAATTCCAAGATTTCAAAATACGAGATAATAATCTTCTTAATACTTTACAGAACTGGGATGAAATTGTTTATTGCAGCGTTAGAGGATAAGAATATGAATCAGTTAATTCTTTAGCAGTGAGAATATCAAAAAAATATGTAATATATTAGCCTATTGTATTTTATGATAATCTGGAAGTTTCATATTGGGTATGTAACCAATAGAATTCCAATTCCAAGCCTACATGACGCATCAAAACTTGACTCATCAACATAGAATTTAATGATTCTCGCACTGAGTAGAGATTTGGTAAACAAATACCGAATGAATGTGCTCATGTTAAGAAATAAGTGGGGTTAACCGCAAGTATAAATAGAGAATCACATAATTTGGTAACTAATCTATGTTGAAAGCTGTATGTTGAAAGCTACATTATATATTGAGTTAAGGTAAATTACATTAGTTTTACATTAAACGGTCTGGTAAAGTGTGAAAAATCTTGGCGGGAGATTACACGTGCTATAAGCAATAACGTACGATACAGGTAAGTTATTTCGCGCCAAATATCTCAACAGCCGATAAAATATTCAACTATTTCTGACATTTATAGTAATTCAGTTCTGTTGTGGTAGTCAGACGGCTACTTCAATTCGAGGCTGTGTGATATTTAAACGCGAAGAGTAAAGATAACGGTTTTCTATAAACATCTTTTTCTCATTTTCTTCTGCAGACGCAAGAAATACTTGAGAGAAGCAGACGTTATTACTCACTCGTTGCAGGAAACGAAATTATTCCGATAAACAGTCAAAATGGTGTTTGAGCATCTCGTTCCTACAAAGCGATCGGAATGGAGCTTCTTCGAACGACAGAGGACAATTTTCAGTTCCATGCATAAGGAAATGGAAAAGGAATGGAAAGATTTTGACATGGAATTGGAGAAAATTCGCAAGGATATGTTTAAATTAACTCCAGCCATTGAATCTGGTGGCCTCGGAGCAGGTGCCTTAGATTTTCCAAAAATGGGATCAGGAATGGATTTAATGAAGTCGGACTTTATGAAATCTGATTTTGGTGATTTGGGTAATTTTGGTGCTTCCGGTATGGACTCTCTGCTTAAGATTGATCAACCATTCGTCACAGATCTTGATGGCAACAAGAAACTTTCCATTAGATTTGATGTCAGCCAATTTAAACCGGAAGAGATCTCTGTGAGGACCATGGACAATAAACTGATGATCCAAGCCAAACATACAGAAGAATCCCCTGGTCGCAAGGTTTACCGTGAATTCAGCAAACAATACATTCTTCCTAACAAAATCGACCCCGTTAAGTTAGAATCAATCCTATCTCAAGATGGTGTTCTCAGTATTCAAGCTCCAGCTCCTGCCGAAGTTGAAGCACCAAAGGAAAGAATCCTACCCATTCAAAGGTTGTAAGCTGATCACCAACTTCCAATGAACTTTTGTCATTTGTGTGTTAACGATTGAAAATTCCGTGCCAGTGCTGATGAGAACGAGAAATGTATGTTTTGGTGCCAATTTGCCGTGACGTTGAATCTTTTGAATAAGCTAACCTTTATTGTGAAGTGATCCGTATGGTGCAATGGAGAATGACTGTTTTTTTTCTAAGATTTTCCCTTTTTTTATTCCGATGAAATATTATAGTATAGTAAGCATAAGCCTACAGTGTTTTTTTTTTTGCAGAACAGTCGTTTTATCGCTTCTAAAAACCTTTCCATCAATTTTTGAATCCTGAAACACTTATTTTGTCTTTCATTACAATGCTTGCTCATTTCGTATGTCTTTTTGCTTTGATTGTTGATTTTAGTTGACATTTAGTGTAAATATCAGTTGAATAAGTATACATGTGAATGAATAACAGTAATACCAAATATGGAAATGTGAGTACAACCTTTCCAGTGACGTAGTATACATAACGCTAACAGCAATGTATTTAGAAAACTGCCAAAATTTTGCTCTTGCAGAACCATACGAATTTCGATCAATTCTCCATTTTAATTAAATATTGTATTGTTAAGAAATATGTTACATGCGAATTGCACATTGCAACACTATGGTCAAAACTTCGAAATTTTTTTCGGTATCAATCGAAATTGGTTCCTTTGGTTATTGGAACTGTAAAATTCTGCTTTTTGGGACATTATAGCCTACGTATGAAGGTTGTACTCACCTTTAATAATTATAGGGCTTTCTTTTGAATTATTTTGTAGTATTTTTAGAGATTTGTTAACTATGAGGTAGATTCCAGCATTTTGTATATAATTTTATAATATTTTGTTAAAGCACATTATATGTACATTTTGTACTGATAGTTTTGTTTTCATTTGAGACACGTAACAGCTATATGTATGAAAGAGACTTAAAGGAATATTATCTTAAGATGAACATAAAATTTAAAGTCTCAAACATGGCCAATATGATGTACATCAGTGGGCTGGTGTCATAACTGTACAAGGGAATCCTTGTATATGACGATAAAATCCAAGAAAAAAGAAAGTAGTTATGGAAAGCAATTGGAATATATTAAGTGTTTTTCAATAATTACCTATAGTTTTTGTAATGATTACTTACTTTTATCGGTTAATCGTCATATAAAGGGATTCTGTTGTATAGTATTGACAGTAAGTCCATTGATGAATTTAGAAACATTTTTAGTCAAGTGTAAAAAACATATATTTCGTCATCCTAAGAGATAGTACACCTTTAACTTTCTAGTTCTCGTCATTTCTGTCACAACGTATTCAGCTAATTGTAGACGAGCTAGATGCCGGGTTTTCAGTCTGAAACTGATTTGAATATCATTGTAATTATAAAGCAATTATTTAAACGAATGAGTATAGGATGGTATAAACTATTTGAGAAGACTGATCGCTGAATCCGTACCATGCTGAATGCAAATTCGTTATTACAATTACTATCTGGATATTGTAAATATAATATTCAAGTCCAGTGTATGGTATGGCGACCATTAACAACTTAGGTTCACGAGAATCCTGGTCTTTGGCCAAACGACACTTGGCACGGATCTTTCCCAAATTATCTATTAACCATTTACAGCTGGCTCGACTGAAATAAAGAACAAAGATAACTTATTAAAGGTTATCGGATTTTCACACACCGACTGAGATTAGAACTTACGACCATAATTTTCTAGAAGAGATTCATTCTAATAATTAAAATGCTTTAGGAATGTATAAACACGTCTTAAATGAATAAATGTATGTCCCAACCCAAACCCTTCACAGGTATATCTGCAGCCAACTCAGCAAAACAATGACAGGGTATAATAAAAGTTAGCCTATTTATGCGTCAATGTTCCATAACTTTGAGAATAATCTGGAACCCAATTCTTCCAGTTCTTAAAGAAATCGACATCTATATTCGCAAGTTTACATTTAACCTTCAAAAAAACAAACGATTTACCACAAAAAAACGATTCATATTACATTTCATCACCATTTTACCTTGCCAATCTTCTAACCATAAATTTCCAAGTACAAAACTAGAGTAATCCGAAAGTTCTGATATTGACTTAAATCATATAATCAAGCACTTTCAGCACAAACTGGTGTATAGAACATCTGAACATCAGCGGCATAAAGTGCTCCTGAACAGGGACGGCAAAAATTGTATCAGTGAGACTGATAACATCTATTTGTACCATTCAAATTTTCAAGATGACCGTGGTTCTAGCAATACCACTTGTTTTATGACAAAACATTCGCAAAAGTTGCTTTAAATGCTCAGTTTAACCACAGTCGTTTGACTGAAAATTGGAATAGCGCAAATCGATGTTTAAAGTGTCCCCAATACACAGAACAAGATAAACCCGACAACCATCATCTGTGCAATATCAAACTATTATGAACTACGTCTAATACCTTGACTGCAATAGTCACCTTTCTTGTATCATGGAATGTAGAATTATAGCTAATTGTTTACAGACATTCTGTCGATGCCTCTGATTGGTCGTAGTCGCCAGCGTACGATCCAATTAAATCGCTTTTTTACAACGTTACATGATACAAGAAAGGTGACGATTGCAGTCGGTGTATTACTATAAGACGTAATTCATAACCTGATATTGTAAAGATGATGGTTGTCGTGTTAATCTTTTTCTGTGTATTGGGAATCGAGAAAATTTGAAAAATATTAATGGACAAAAAGTTTCCGTGTTGGTGTATATTATATTATGAGCCTCACTGTTTCGGATTTTTATATTATTAAGATATAACTAAGTAATGTATTTGTTATTTTAGTAATATTGTTTTGATATCTTGTCTTGATGATATTTAATATTAGATAATAACATACCATTATACCTCTTTAATAAATCTGATATCTTTCAATATCTTATATTCTACAGACAGGTTTTTTTTTTTTAGATTTTGGCAGCTGAATTTGACGTGGATCGCTTAGAAACTACAGAAAAACGTCTGGGACAAGGAGGGTTCTTTTCATCAAAGGGATTGATTTCTACATTTTTATATGTATAGGGGACACTGATAGCATCAATTTGCACCAATTTTTATTTTATATATTCAATCAGAGAGTCTGTCGTTCCTGACATTTTACTAAAACTAAGTGTTTGATGACGACATTAATAAAACACTAATTTATCACATTAAGCCCTTTGCGATTATCAAAAACACTTAAAAAATGTAGAAATCACTTTAAGTTTACTCAATTTAAAGGGATATTAGTAATTACTGTCGGATATTAATGCATTTATTTTAACCTAAACTTGGCACCTATACTACTAACTGACATTTATTCGGTAAATAAATAAAATATAAACCTGTTTCCATGGAAATGATAAATACCAGACTTTTTGCCTGGAGATATACAACAGAATTACACCTGTGTTATACAAAATACCCTGTACCTTAGACTTATTATATTGGCATCGCAGAATTCCCATCAGAATTCAGACCAGATCGAAATGCACTAGCCACCTCTGACTAAAAAGACAGCGCAGCAAAGGCCTACGTGTACATTCAGTGAAAAATATTCTTAATAATAATAATTCTATTAATAATAAAAGATTCTTTGTTTTTCAAGAATGTAATTTGAGAAGTTATCAGAATTCAGAACTCTTTGTTTTTAACCTAGCAATTATTTCTCGAAATAAGTGAAATACCAAAGTCAAATCGTAGGATAAACTCGTATCTCGATTCGACAGAGGCGACAGAGGTTGTAGAGGTGTTCTCGGACCGCAGTCACGAAAGGATATAACGGATAGAAAAGTGGTTTGTACCCCCACTTTATTTTCAACCAATCTAAATGTGTCAGAATGCACAAAATCAATTCATTTTTTCTAAATTTTCTTGAGAGAACCCACTAAGACACTCTGTGAGAGGCTTGCGACTTTGACACCACCACAGAGTTCGAATTCGAATTCAGCCTCAGCAGTTGTCCCCCATTGAGTCAGTCTACCCCCTATTTGTACCCCCAGTCTCGGAAGGCTGGCGCCGCTACTGCTCGTGACAATGCAGAGCTGAAGATGACAATTATACCTAAGTTTGGGATCACTTTCTTCAACCCTTCTTTTTTTCCAACTGTCTATCCGATAACATACGTTGTTACCTAGGTGGTCTGACTCTAGAAAGTTCTGGTCTCTGAACTTTATGATGTCTATCAAATATAATATGATATTAATATTGATAATCAAAACTGATATAGATTTTATTGACCATTTAATAGAGCCAACATATAACTTTAAAGATATACAGTCGACTAAATATATGCTTTATCAATTTATAATACTGAATTTCAATTCTTCATATCACTTTTCAAAAGTTTTTACAGCGACTCAATTTTTGTGCTTTGGAGCTTAATTCCAGAAGCTATGTAGAGTGTATTGCAAATTTCCTATTAACTGAAAATCAAACAGGTTTTGGCTCTAATCAAAGATATCTGACCGAAGCGGGCAAGGGACCATCACGGACTAGATTGAAATTTGATGCTTTATATGTCCTTCCTTTTTGCACCTTACGAGCACTGGCACACAGGTACTCTTATTTTTCCATTGCAACCCCTCCGTCCTACATCTTTGACAAGTGTTTGAAAAATCTATCTATGGCGGAATTAAACCCCAGGCCATCAGTTTAGCGAGCCAGAAAAGCAGGACGTAAAACTCCATTAATTTCATTTCATTTTTTTTTCAGTTTATTGAACCAGCATCCAGGTCACCTAGACAGAAACATCTGCCTCTATTATTCCAGCCTCTGATAGGCGTGGAGGTCTGGAAAATCCCCATAAAACAGGGCATAGTTTTACTGACTCTACTCCAGCCGATAACCGTGTGATTCTAACTTAGTACTATAACATTGATTACTTTATTACTCATTCGACTTTTTAGACCAGGTTTGACTTGTTGAAATATCTGATCATTTACATCATGGAACGTTGTCATGGAAACCGCACAAAAAATAAATATGTGCTTTCATCACTGCTGCTATGATTGAAATTCTAAACAATTGGAATAAGATGATCAAAAAAGTTTGGTATCAATTACGAAAAATTTAGGCCTATGCTATACTTTAAGTAGAAGTTATTTGCTCTTGAAAAACTCGCTAGGGCAGGGCATACCCACAATGTCACTTTGGTTTTGCTTTACTAATATTTCTCTTGTTATATTATACAATTCGATTCTATTTATCTTTTAAGGTTTGATGTTAAAGCCTCGTGTGTCATCTCATTGAAACAAAGGTGGGCGATACCTAAGGATAGGATAACATTGGATAACTTGCGCTCTTCCAAAACTGTGTAATAAGTCCGATAACTCTTACAAAACATATTCCTGTAAGATGGTTATTGTCTCCCCTTGACCATTATTAAATTGTCATAAAATCCTTCTGTCAAATGACTATTTTAGTGGTATGGTAAAGACTATTAGTTTCAGATTTTAGATTCGGTTTCAATGAAAAAGATTTGCATGGAAATAATGATTTATACCGTCAGCCAATCAAATTTCTTCCCTCTCCAACGCTGGGATTTTGTGACGCAAAAAAGGTGGGTTCATTGTCTAATGTCTCTCGGAGCTGACGGTGTCATCAAAAGACGAATGTTCAAGAAGGCCGTCTTTAGACCCTAACTGAAGTGGCTATATTAAAATAAAAGCTAATAAAAAAACGGAACGAAAGATAGGTTTTATTCTAATTAATTGGAAATTGAGATTATTCGGGCCAGCGAGTCATTCCCAAGCCATGGTCATCAAACAGCGTATTAATTAATAAGAGAAATGATATGAAAGTGATTTAATATCCGTCTACTTCATACAAAAATAACACAAATAACAACTACATAACTATACAACATTAACCCTTAACGGCTCGACAATATAATATACTCGATTGTCGAAAAATGTCGACGTCGAAGAATCCTTATCACCAGATAAGTGAGGCACGAGGTCGAGCGGTTAAGTGTAGATACTACTTATTAAATATAGCATATAAATTACAGCTTTAAAATAAGACAATTGATGATAGCTTTAAATATAAGACAATTAATAATAGATTTCCTGACACATAATTAATACAAACTTTAATACAAATATGACTAATTTTTTCTTTTTTATAGAACTATCAACCATGACTGTCAATACGTTCCATTAAATATAAGCATTGTGTAATTACAGCTTCATTATATTACATTTATCATTATTATCAATTGTTTTGCTTTCATGATTTAATAATAATAAACAAACAAAAATGAACATATGCATATAAATATCAACCCATTGGGGGCTAAGACTTCTAATAAGATACATCATTAACATTAAAAGCTCAAATTTTAAGACAAATGACATTTAAATTCAATATTAAAGGGACAGATGCACCATTTTTTTTAACAATCGCACCAGTCTCAGTAGCGGGATTTTTTTTCTAGCTAAACCAATCAGTAATAGTATTCATAGCTCACTGTTGAAATTTGTGCCTTCAAATACATGCGTGTCCAGAATTATCCATGTTTGAAAGTTAAAATGACGAGTCGTCTTATTTCGAGACACTGTAATATATTGAAAAAGGAGAAATTCCTAGTCTGAGATATTTTTGAAGGAATCATGCGATTTTCGTACACTTCTGGTATTATTTATATATATTCAAATCAATCTCCGGGAATGCTGCAACTGTCCCTTTAATACAAACATCAGTAATGGGCTATCGTGGCAAACGTTAAAGGGTTAATAATGTTTGTTGCATGAATGAATCTTTTAATAACAGAACAATTTAAAACTCAATAAAATCTCATTTATAGACAAATTATCAAAAGGCAAAACACAACCGATACTCTACAAACATACAATCCCAGTGAGAGTCATCACAAAGGCCTATTAGAATATAGATAAAAAAAAATTACATTCTACGCACAATCTGATCATCACGTAAAGCAAAATTGCAAATGGTTCAGCTAATATAAAGACCCCGTCACACCAGAAAGGCGTTCTTACTATGCTGCTACTCCGACGGAAAATGGCTCAGAATGTATTAAGATCGCTCGTATAGCACAATCGTGTAAAACAAGCTCGACATCGTGCAATATAGACGCTATTGACGCCACTATTCGCCAAGCTATGGCATTTATTTTGGACATGTTCAAACAAACGCCAAGGTTTGACAAATCTGGCACACGTGGTAAAAATCTAGTTTTCCTCACGGTTGATCCCGACCTTAATACATTTCCAGTCGCTTTAAGATCGCAAATGATCGCTGTCCGGTGTGATGGGGCTATAAATAAAGTTGTATTATGATACGACAGTGTAAGCTATGCTATACTGTAGAATTAGACACATATCAAGTAATATACAGTTTGCGCAATAAATTAGTTCATGCAATTACTATAACACTTTTCCGCATGCAATAGCCCGTTTTCACTTGTTAGTGTTTTCGTTCATTATTCAACTTCAATTCGAAAAAGCACTTTTTTTGATAGATACACTTATCCAATTTCAAAGGATATCCACGGCTTTGGTAGAAACATCAGACCATGACCAATAACAGGCAACGAGTATCCAAACAAAACTAAATTATTCTTCTAAATACGATTCTTTGGTTTGTAATAATGACAGGTAACTACAGTTTAAATACTATCTATAATATTTTGAAAACTTTTGTCTAAGGCTCATCAACTTGTATCCTCCACACAAAAGGATTTTTCAAAGATATTCCATAAAGGCAATGAGATTCATTTACTGTTCGGGATTGGATCAGGAAATCTCAACCGATTCAAAACGACTTGCGTCTGATGATAAGACTATTCTCTCAGTGAAATCCACCATTAGTATTTGTTTTGTAGGGAGCTTCTACAATCAGACGACCACCATCAGTAAAGAAAGCTTTAACAGTAATGGGGTCTACTGTTTCTGGTATATTATATTCCCTAGACAGCTCTTTCGTGGATGATCTGTTTGCTTCTTTGACCTCTCGTCGTCCACTGACTACCACCTTCTTGTCCAATGTTTTAACCGTTAGTTCCTCGGGAGCAAAATCTTCAATATCTATCTCTACTTTAAAGTTGGATTCTTTGTTGATGATAATTGGAGTGCTGACTGATGTGACTCTGCTAGGAGATCCAACACTTGAAGGAAACTGACTTTGGAATCCTGAAGACTGGAAAGGTGCTCCTGGAGGAGCCTGTACGTTTTGAAAGGGTTGTTGGTGTTGTTGTTGAAATATTGGTCGATCCTGGTGAACTGAGAGTGGAGGTTGAGGAGAAGAAGATTGATAAGAAGAAGTGACATGGGAAGGTGGTGGTGGATTTTGGGGAGCTTGTTGGTAAGAAGGAGGTGTGTAGCTAGGAGGCTGGTAAGTAGGAGGTTGACTTTGGTATTTTGGAGCAGACTGATATTGATTTTGGGAGATGGCTGATGCAGGCGTTGGTGTAGGTCCACTAGTGACTGAATACTGTGGTGTTGGGTACGGAGCCTCAACACACAAAACTCCCTCTTTTGATATAGCACATTGTAATGACATAGGATCGATCTCGCGAGGAATATTAATTTCCCGCGAAAACTCGCGACTTACACTCTTTCCGCCATCTTTTTGCTCATGGCGCGCATGTACCTGCATCTTATTGCTATCCATTTTTACATTCACTTCGTCTGGCTTATAATCACTGACATCAAAACGTACTCTAAAAACTGGATTTCCTCTATCATCTTTCTCAATAACTGCTTTACCATCATCTCGAACGCTAGATACTGCTGACGTTCGTTCGGGGATACCCATACTGAATTTATCCGAAAGGGTGTTAAATCGGCGATCAGTTTCTGGTCGAAGTGAGAAAAAATCACTACTCATTTTGTCTATTTCATTTTCCCACTCTCGACGTCTAGATTCCATATCTCGTTCCATATCGTCCCAAATATTACTTCGATTATCTTCTAAACCGAATTTTTCTTTAGTTATTGGAATCCTTGTAGCCATGGGTTACCAAATAATGACAGATAACCTGAAAAGATAGAAAGGAAACAAAGATAAACATGTTGCTGTGTAAGTGTAACAAATGCATGGAGTTCAAAAAGTTCACCAACATGGAACATAATGGAATTAAGAACAGTGTACACCACAATTGCTCTGTTGTAGGCTAATTATGAACTTTTAAACCACAAATTCTCAAATGAAATGAATGGCAGTGTATGCATTATATTAAAATGCTTTTGTGGAGTTACAAGCAGTGTATCTTTTATAAACTCTTCTTCAATAAAATACAAAATTAGTCCTGAATATACGTAGTCTTCAGAAGTACATGTAATAACATTTCAATTCCAATTGCGTCATGTATAGTAAGAAGTTCAGTGTAACTTTGTTTTTATATTTGCATGATATTGAAACAGTGTGCTCTAAGGAGAACCTTTACGTCCGTGTTTCTTTTAATTAAGCAACAATGAATACGACTAGGCTATATTTCCCTTTTAAAAAAACAAATTAACTTTTTTGACATTACATATTACTGTTTCCCATAGAAGGTTTGAATGTTCTGCTTTTTTGCATTTGAAATTTATATATTTCATCACCATGGTTTCTCAAATTTTGGAATTTTTGGACATTGTAATCAAGGATTAGATGCCATTTACCCTCGTGATACCTTAATATAAAAAACTTTATTTCTCCAAGATATTTCTCCGTTATCACTATTTAAAGCGGATTCTATCTATTTTTACGTTTAAATCAATTAAAAGATGTTCTTCTGATAATAAACGTTAAAAATTTTCAGGGTAATTACTCAATCTAAAGAATGTTGTTAGTGATAGATAAGAACTCTGTGTGAACACTGTTAGTTTTAGAATGTTTAATCTATTTTTAATTCATGTAATCACCTTTTATATCCGTTTTCATTTTTGAAAAAATCGGTGTTTTCATTAGAAACTCTAGTATAGAACTCGTTGACATTTTTGTATCTAGTCTAGTCTCTGAGCGATATTGTGAATACATGCGAGTTAGCTAGCTAGTGTTGTTATAGTTATATCAGATGCTATTTAGAACCGTCTTTAGAATGGATTGCATACCAATGATTGTTGCAGCAAACTGCAAAGTATTTCTCTAGTGTTATACATGCAGCCTCCAATAGTCTTTTTTGTGTGAACTTTCTCCTGTTCAGTGTTAGGGTGTATTGAGACGAGTCCCAGTGAGAGCAATGGCCTAGGTTACAGTGAATGAGCTCAATTTGCTCATGGGCTTGTCCGTCATATCTGTCCTTACCCACTTCATTAAACGTGACATAAATGGGTGAGATATCGTCACGGTGTGTCACAGGAAGGTTCAGACATCTAATGTCGCTTTTATGGGAGTTGCTCAGACATATTTTGGGTCGCTAATTTGTGAGAAAAGAACCAAATTTGTCATAACTTCTGATATGAATACAAAGCTTAACCTTAAATTAAATTGTACATTCATTATGGATATTTTTCTGAAATCGAAATTAATTCGTGAAATCACAAGAAAATTTTTTCTTTGTGATTAAAATCAATTTTTGCTCCTCTTTTGTGACATGTACAGTTATTTTCATTAATTAGAAGCTAACAATTTCCTGAAATAAGACGTTAAGTTATCTTTTATTTTATGCAATATAATCTAGGAATTAAGGAAGTATTATGTACTCTTAACAGAAGGAGATTTTCAGACCAAAATAATCAGTAGAAGATGGTAAACTGGTAAAGGTTATCATCAACCGTTTTACAGATGTGCTATTCAAATATTGCTGACGTCAGGGTAAATTCTATATTCAGCAAAGTCTGTATTGATAACCCTCTTTCAACATAATTTATAGACATGATATAAATCATTTTAGATAGCCAACCCGATCCTACCGCATGTAAAAAGAAAAAAGAAAATGCGCGGATAATTCGTTTGCATCACCGGATATATTTTATACGGTATTTGTGTATATAACTAATCCACGATAAGGACATTATGAAATGCGTGTGTTCATATGTACAAAACAAACTGTAAAAGTGACTATATAGAAGTGTGTTGATTGGTCGATTTGAAAAATCAATTGACATCATTCATTTATTACCGATACAACTACCAAATCAACAGCTTAGAATCATCCAATTGAACGAATTCAACAGCCAACTAATATGACCACAAACAACTACTTAGTTTGCGATAGCTTTAAACAACCATCCATCAATTAACCGACGTTTACGACAAAACCAAGAAACCATAATAGGGGAGGGGGAGGGAGTCAAGATACTCTCCCAAACATACAAATTTTGTGAATTAAAGCCTCAACATCTGACCTCACATCTTCTTTGATTTTCTCTTTAACTAGGCCAGTTATCAAATGAACCCCATCTTTACACCACCTCAACATTCTTTAAACCATTCTGCTTTATCTTATTTAAAGATTGAAAAGTAGAAAACAGCTGTCGACAATAAACTATGTCTGACAAATAAAGAAATATTTATATTTGTTGGCTAAAAACTAGTCTAACTGGTAGACCTATAGACTTACTAACTCATTTTTAATTTTGGAAAGTGACCGGCCTAAAGTATACCCGAATTAACCTGAGCAACACTTAGAATGCTCTTTAAAGGGATTGTAAAGTGGTTTGCTAATTTTTATCATAGGTCGGTGAAAGCATCAATTTTCAGTCAAACGTCTAAGCTTTTGTGATAGTAAAATCATAAAACGCATAATTCAGATGGAACTGCAAGACCACAGACGTCTAACTGAATATTGGAACGTAGCAAATAATTGCTATCAGTGATCCAATGCTCATAAAAGATTTAGAAAACCTCTTTACAATCCAATCCACAGCTGGAAATCGAAAAAGACTAAGCTAATGTCGCTGTCCAGGTAAAATTTAACTCAGTGCACACTACATAGCATTGTTCATTAGCCCAAACCGAAGCAGAATGAAGACTTAAAACTTCATTTCATGTATATTTGAGTCGTAATTTTGTGGTATAATATCCAATTGTAGACCCTATATATAACATTTGAATATAGTATTCATTGGTACCAAGAAACCAAAATCACTTACACATATACCAATATCCACTAGTGCTAGACTACCAGGTGTGAAATATAGAGCTATACCGGCATTAATAAACATACTGACAGTAAATGTCAAAAGATATAAATAGTACTTATCTCTATACATATCATCATTGATATTATCTGCTGGAATATAAATGTCTAACATTTTCCCATAAACATTTATTACACTATCGAAAGAACGAAATAACAATTCTTTCATGAATATAAGCATTGTTCTTAAATTTTCAGAACATCATGGAACACTTCTTGGAAAATGAAATGAATGGAGTCTTGCATCCTTCCTGTCTGCACCATGCGGTGCAGGGTGCAATGAGGGAAATATTGCCAGGACAGCGGCATTAGCTTGCTCTTTTTCGATTTCCAAGGGATTTCGAGAGATCTTTAATGTGAACAGCCTGTAGCACATGTGGCCTCGGTTTATTGTCCCATCCGAACGACTAGACGCCTTTCATGTCAGCCCCTCATCACAGGGAGAAACTGGGTTGAAAACGTCCGAAGGCATTATCTCAGCCTATAACACATCGTGTACGTTGGCTATTTTTTTCAAAGGGCTCAATTCTGATAATTGCGATTCAAAATTTCATCTTAAGAAGCAAAATCTAATCCAATGCCAAGATGAAACCAAATTTTGATAGTTTGTATTTGGTCATCTTCACAGTGTTAACTGTTTTTCTATCGAGGGCTCTGATACAAGTCTAATTTACGATTTCAAAACACTTATTTTTGTGGAATTGCAGGAACCATAGATGTCTGTTTGAAAATTAGAATGATGCAAATTTATCAGTGTCTTCGATACACATAAAAATGTTAAGAAAACCTCTTTATAATCTCTATAACATTTCACCACATCAATGCGCAATATTGTGTATTCATTTTGCTCTTTCTTTCTTATCACGCTCTAGTATTGTATAACAATATTGATTTTAATGTTCAAATAAGAGTGTAAATGTAAATGCTTGAATCGTTTGTTGACACAGACGATATATTCTGAATAGTAGATGAGATATATATACCACAGGGAATAATTATTCATATTCCTAAACCTCAGACATGCTGCTTTTATCTTATTGTCAAGTAGATATGTCGCAATTAATATTCTACGAGAAAGAAGGAGATTTTGATCAAGAATTTGACTTCCAGCATTACGTGACATTATATAACAAAATTCTAAATTTCTTAGTTCCAAATGTAATAGAGTAATTCGTCCTACTTTTTGGGTTTTGGTGACCAATTTCTGTGATCAGTTTACTTTGTGATCAAATTACTGTGATCAGTTTACTTTGTGATCAAATCACTGTGACCAATTTACCTTGTGATCAAATCTCTGTGACCAATTTACCTTGTGATCAAATCTCTGTGACCAATTTACCTTGTGATCAAATCTCTGTGACCAATTTACTCTGTGATCAAATCACTGTGACCGTCTCACTTTAATGGGATTGTAAAGAGGTTTTCTAAATTTTGTATATACATGTGACGGATTTTCATGTTCTTACATGTACTAACCATAAAACTTGTTCATCAAAAAAGCATCTGCTCTTTCAAAAATGTTCTCAAATTTTTAAGTTTATCGAGGATACTGATGGCATCAATTTGCACATTCCAATTTTCAATCAGACGTTTGTGGTTCCTGCAATTCCATTAAAACTAAGCGTTTAATGACGTCACTAATCGCGAAGTCAATATGTGATAAAGCATTATTTTGCGATTAGTGATACAC